TTGGCCTTTTAATCACATTTGTTTAATTTGTTTGTTTTTTGGGGGTTTGTTTTTTGCAAATTTTGTTCATATTTCTTCAATTTCCTCTTCTATATGTACATGCATGATTGGGCCTACGTTTAGAAAAAAAAAAAACACACCCTCCTACGTAGGAGTTTATTTTCTGCTCCCATAATTTTATGCTCTCCAATGTGATACATGTTCAGTAAAGTGAAAAAGTATGTTTGGCGCCATTCAGAGCTGCAGTTATTGGTTTGCTTCGAATCATCTTGTTCATGCATAGCCAAAGTGTGATGGAGCTTCAGGTCACAAACTGATCAGCTGGCATTCTCCTTCAGGATTTACTGCCAGAGAACAGAATTCATGATTCCATTGTTGCAGCAAATAGTTTGTCTGTAAACAGTAAAAAAGGCCAAGGCTATTATAATATCCCATCATATTTAACTGTCAGTGTGGTTTTACTTAACGAAATGGTGTTTTTTTACTTCAAATATTATGGGACATGCACGTTTCAATGAGTTCCACTTTTGTCTCTTTCATTGATAGATTATTCCCACAAATTGTAAGAGCCCATCAAGATGTTATTTTGATGATTGTGAGACAGGCATTTTTGTTATTTTTTTTGTTATTTTTGGTGAGGGGAGATATTGTAGCTCTATTTTTGATGCAATTTCTTCTGGTGTTTTTTTTTTTTCTTATTATTTTTGAATCATGAACACTGACCTCAACTGAGACCAGGAGGAGTTTAGACTTTGTTCTTAGAAATTGTTCTGACCTGATAGTCATTGCTGTGATCTTGGAGTAAGTGTGATAGGTCGTCCAACTCTGACTATGGTTCTAGACATTGGCTCTTACTATGGTTTGCTGCAGTCTAAAAACCATAGAAAAGATTTTGTGACCCCTTCCAGATTAATAGACGTCATTGACTGCACTTCTGATCCATTCTTTAAATTCTTTAGATTGTAACCTGATGTATTTGACATCTTCTAGTCTATTTAATTTGATCAGACTTGCTGTTTTTAAGTTATTTCCTAATCATCAGAGCTGGTGAACTTTTGAGCTTCCCACCCTGAAAAAAAAATATTATTGATGTAATGGATTGGTGAATTGTCAAGGGCATCATGTTTCTTATGTCAATATAGAATGGACAAAGACACCAACCTTCCCACAAACAGATATATATGGATGGATAATTGATAAGTTCTTTTTTTTCTCATTGTTCTTTTGTGTAATAGCTTTTTTTATTTTGTTTATTTTGTTTTTTATCTCAAACATTATGAAGAAAAAAATCTGTAAGAGGCTTCATACTTTTTCGCAACATTTTGTGACACAATCCTGTTTTTGTATCCGTCAGTTCTTGGATCTAAACAGGTGGGAGAATATGTCGTAAACTTCTTGGAATAAACATTTCCAGAGAGGCGCATACATTACTGGGACACCAAATGGCTAAACAGGGAGCAATGAAAACAGCACTTAATCTTGAGCAGTACAGGGGGATGTTTGGGTGGGTGGCGATGCAGTTGGGAGATGGATTGAAGACTGCAGCCCTTGTTGCCAAAAAGGCCTTTGTACCATGGCGGTGGTACAGGGTAATGTCATAAAAATGTATTTGTTTCTCCCTGCTGCCTGTGCGTGAGTGTGTATTTACATTTCTCACATGTCTGGGGGGCTTATCTGTTTAGTGTTGATTAAAAGTGAAATAGTGGATATGCATTGCAGCAGCTCTCCCTTCTGTGCACGTTCACATTGCAGAGAAAAGCCAGAAAACACCTAAAACAACACAAAATTTACGTAATCGAAATGTTCCATTAACTCAGGCTAAATGTACTGAATCATGCCGCTGCATGATATAATATGATAAGAGTTGCCTTTCTGGAAAGAGAGATCAAAAATAAAATAATCTTGAAAGTGTTGGTATAGTGATAAACCATTTTTCTAATTTTCTGCAAAAACACCAACACTTCAATCTCATAGTTAACTAGATATGCTAAGATGATAAAGCAAATGCATTCCTGTGAGTATAAATAGGGCTTTGACCCATTAGTTCAGTCCAATTCAATGAAAATGTTTTTTTTTTAATCCCAAAGGGGAATCAATTGTTCTTGTAACTCATATTATTGAGTTGTTGTTGAAGGTGATGCTGTAGGCATGAAGAAACTCTGCTAGCAATCAATCTTTCAACGAATCTGAAGAGGCCTTTGAATGGAAACCCTTGCTGTATGGATTCATGGCTGTCTTAGCAAGCTAATAGCTTGTAGTTAGTTGAGATGTTGAAGTTGAGGATATAATCCTTGCCCATTATGACTGATGGAAGAGACGGTTTGAACTTCCTTCTCTCTCTGGTTTTTCCTTCTGAAGGTTTTTCCCTGAAGCCTCCTTTTCAACTCTTCCAGAGTCATATGTCAAAAAGCATTTGATCTTTTCAGATGCTAATCAGCTGCTCCCAGAAGTTAGAACAATATGTTGTTGATGCAGCTGCACATCATAACAACTGAACAATTATTTCCATCTGCACAGCTTCCAAAACCAGAAGGAATACTCCTTATTCTTCATACTCACACTAGTTGGTTATGGTCTGTCACATAATTTTTTTATTTGTTTTTTTAATAGCAGCAAATTATGAACAAATAACTGGGGGCTCCATATTCACTCAGTACCTGACTGAGCTACATTTGTCAGCAAAAATAAATTAATAACAATTGTCTTATTTTAATTTTGATTATTTTTAATATGATATATTCAACCATTGAAATTATTTCATCCTTTCGAAGTAGTCTCCAGAAATCATTTTGCCACCTTTGACCCAAGAAGCAGAATATAAGGTTATGCTCAGTGCGTGGCTTTACTCCACTCTCACAGTTGGAAATTGTGACTGAATAGTACAGTCTTCATTTTGTAAAAGGAGAGGATGTTCTTTTGCATGATCTGAGAGTCATTCAGGACCCATTTGGCAAACTCCCAGAAGGCTGTCAGGGGGCTTTTAGGTTTGTGTCTGGCACCTCTTACTATAAAGACCTGATTGGTGTAGTGCTGCTTGGATGGTTGTCTTTTCTTTATAATCCTTCCATCCTGAAAAAGAAACACGATCTCATTCAAAGTGACAGATTCCATTTTGGAGTGATGGACACTTTTATCCTTTTGGCCTCTTGAAGTGCTGCTGAAATGTTTTTTTTTTTATTTATATAGAGATTTCCCATATCTATTTTCTGACAAAATCCAGTATTACGGAAATAATAACCATTCTTTCTGCTCCACTGCTTTGTTTTTACTCTGAAACACTTTGCTCTCTGCAACTATGAGACAAACAGTGGCAAATAATTCAAACCCTAATGACAATGATCCGACCTACACAAGTATTGTAAATCTAAAAGAAAAACAAACAAAATGTTCACTGACCAATAACTTTAACTGGTTTAGTAGAATGGCTTAGTGAACATTGTAATAGCAATATATAATTTTACTTAGGGCCCTTTAGTGACTTATGGTTTATTTATCAACTTGTTGTAAAAGTCTACGACTTCTTGTTTATTTGATTTGACTGACTTGATTTAATTTTATTTATTTATTTATTTTTGTTTGTTTGTTTTTTTATTTTATTTTTTTTATAATCGGGATATGCAAAGTACCTTGAAGACGACATTTGTTATGGATTGGTGCTTCACAGTCTGCTTAATAAATAAAATTAAGCAACCCAGCAATGTTCATTTGTCATATTTAAAGTCCCTTTTTAAATTAACTACATGTTTTACACTAAGTCAACATTTCTGTATTAATTACATCTTCTGTATTGGACTGATGTATAATTTAATTTTAAATGTTGTGTTTTCATTATACTTAACAGAAATAGACTTGAAAACATCTGTCTATGCGTAAATAATCTACTTTATGTGTTTTGCTTAGAAAATTGAGTTACCACAATATATATATTTTTTTGTATAATATTCTATTTTATTGAATATAACTGTATAAATCAACTGAAATGAAACTAAGTAATGCAAAAATAACAAATGTAAGAAATATTTCAAAACATTGTCAAGTACTTGAAGTTGTTGTCAGAAAGATAATTGCTTCATTTAAATATTTCAGTTTTGTTCAAGGTTTCCTCGTAATGCGATCTAGATTAAGGTGAACATCTTTATATAAATATGCAGTAGAATTTTCTATATCTAGGAACATTGACACTGTTGGTTGTTGAATGCATCTGGCATTCACATAATAATTTCTGTTGACTTCAGGGGGCAAACAGAAAGTGCAGTTGCCTCCCTCTCGCTATTTTTCCTTCACCCTTTCAGAAGCAGGCCACCGGCAAACAATCATACGCACACACACACACGCACTGCTCTAACCGTAAATTACAGAGGAGCAGCAAATCATTTTCCCATTCACTCCCCTGTTACTCAAACATTTAGTTTATTCTCTGTCAGAAAATTATGTGGCACTGATGCCAGTTCTCTCTGGTGTAATCATCAATTATGTATTCGCCTCTGTAGGAGTTTTTGTATGTGTGGAGAGCGAAGGCTGCGGAGGGGCATCAGGTTACAGTCAATTCATCAACAGAGTGTAAAACACCTGAAGGTTAAAGCCACACACTTGACCTATTCACAGAATAGTGAAGAGGTCTTCCCGCCATAAATCATCGAAAAGCTAAAAGCTCAAGTTAGTATTTCTATACTGAGATCATAATTTATGGACACAGCAATGGAAGGGTTAGACATCCGGATCAAATGTTGACTCAAGACCTCATAGTTGCCCTTTTAAGCTCAAAGTTTTCACAATTCAGACCACTTTGTGTCCCCAGGGTCACACAGCCTGCTTAAAAGTATGAGTGCTTTCAAGAATACATTAATCTTACTCCCAATGCCGACGCCTCAGAAAACAAAAAATGGATATATGCAGGAACAGAACGCATACTACTTGATTTTAATTCCAGTTTACAATACAATGTCACTCCCATTCTGTTTCTTGCTCTAAATTGAGGAAATTATGTTGCTTTTGTTTAGGTGGAGCTCCTTGACAGCACTTCGCACACCATTACTGATGCCTATGCAGGGAAGGAATATATCATACAGGTAACCTTTTTTTTTTTTTTTTTTTTTTTCATTTTTAAAAAGAAGCACTCAAAAAACTAGGTGTTACAGCAGTACATCATTAGCACCTAATAACACCAATTGTCCAAATCATCTTTGTTCCTCCTATCCTTGCATTAACAGATAGCTGCAAAGGACACAGAAATTGGAACATGGAGTGACTGGAGTGTTGCTGTACATGCCACACCCTGGATTGAGGATCCTCTGCCAATCACTACTACAACTGAAGTGGACTTTCCTAATGGTATGTCCTCTTTAGAGGAACAAACACAGGAACACTGTAGTGCATTTCTCCAATTAAGCTGAAAAAACATCTTCTGTGAGGTTCCTCAAGGTTCCATTATCTGCATGATGAAGTTCTAGAACATGTCTTACTACTTGCAGCATGTTGACACAGTTGTTGCAGAACTGTGGATTGTGAGAAAACTAGTAAGGTTTTCACTTGTTAATTAGTTAAGAGTGTCTCAATTACTTCAGTATCTATTTCATGAGTAAAACCTAGGAAAATATTTTCACAAATTGTACCTAGGAAAATATTTTCACAAATTGTACTTATAAAGTATTATATGAGTTTAAAGAGAGTGATGCTAAACAATAAAATCTTAATTCTATCGATGGTTTTTATGCTTTTTTTAAGTGCCATTTTGGATCGTGAACTTGGGTCTATTCTGCAACCGCGATTTTTTCAGATTCAAATTTTGACTATCGATTCCAGTGTTTTACTGGAAACGTAAGACAATAAACTTGTTACTATAACTCACCATTATGTTTTACAAATTGCGTTTTTTGTAACCATTTCTATGAAGTTTTTTGACATTTATCCATTGAAGCTTTTCATAATTCACCTATTGCCTGCAGCTTTTAAGTAATATTACCTTTATAATTACCATGCCATGAAATTATACTTTGCATAACAGTTTTATTTAGATAACATCGTGTACACATTAAGCATTACAGTAAGGCTTTAGCTTCTTCTATTACAGTTCAAGGTAAAAAAAAATATAGCAGCCTCAAGTCAAACTGTCACGCATCAACCCAAGCTGCTGGAAACTGCCTCAGGGGGAAAACAGTGCTACCTTTTAAAAGAACACTCACGTATTTCATCCAACTCCAGACTGCCTCTTATACTACAGCGTACTTTGCAGTATAACAAGAATTTTTCCAAATGTGTTTGTTGCAGTTTATTTTTATATATTTTTTCTTCATTTTACACCTCTAAATTAGTTTTGCAAACTTGCAGGCAGGTTGGTAGATAGATATTGACATGTGCCAGATGTGAAACACTGGTAGCACCCTGAGAGTACCTGAACACTAAGAAGTTTATTTCAGGGATGAACACTCTGTTGAACATATTTTAGAAATACTGCAATAACCAAACTCTATTGATTTGTTTTTTTAAAAAAATAAATAAATAACTGAGTGACAACAGCCATGTTCACTGCAATCACAACCTCAGATAATAACTGGATGAATATACTTTCATTATAAAGTACGGGGGAAAAAATGATAAAACTCTTTATTTAGCTGGTTTTTAAATATTATATATAATATATATGTGAAGAATTTATCAATGGAATACTTTAGATTTACTTTAGAAATCTAAACTAAAAGGAGCTAGGCATGTCTGAACATAGCGATGTGAGCAGTAGAACAAGATGTTATATTTTGACATTATCTCCATATAAAAAGCAGTCCTAACAAAGACTGCACTGTAGCCATGAGTCCCAGAGAAGATGGTGTTCTTACTGGAACACAGTAGTTAAGAAAAAGCATAACTCTGTATGATTAAGTTATTTAGCTGTGTGCAGATCCCTTTGTTGAATTTGATTCACGGTAGCCCAGGATCGTCCTTGTTCCATAATCACATCAGTAGATTACCGTATGATGAACAATGTATGCAACTGGCTGTTATAAATGCTTTTGGGGCTGCTGAGTCTTATGATCGAAGAGAAACCTGTTGTTGTCTTATGCAAAAACAAACACAAGAAAAGGAATTTTATGATGTCGTCGAACACTATCATGCCAATATTGGCTTCCTGAGAGAGGTTGACAGCCCTGAGAGTTGACACACTCTGTGATCATCAAGATAATTTTCAGCAAATGTGAGACGGGACTTTGTATTCTTTTTAGTGATCTGCGGTTTTGGTGTTGGAACTCTCACTTGGATGTAATTTTTACCCATTTTCTTTTGTTTTGTGGAATCATGAAACCATGAAGTTAGCAAAGGGAAGTGAAGTCTGCAGAGCACAAGATGTTCCAGGTTCCTTTGTGACCTCTGTATAGAGTCGGGGTAGTTTCAGCCGGCTCTCCACTCCTGGAAAAGTTTGACACCATTTGTCTGGACAACAGCTCTCTCTGTGGTTCATTGCCGTTCCAAAGCCTTAAGAATGGTTTTGTAAACCTTTCCAGACTGATAGATGATACACTGACAGACTGATTCTTAGTTTCTCGTCTTCTTGAATTTTTCTTTAATTTCATTAGATCAGGATGTGTTGACATTTCTGATATTTTAACATGCTTATTGTTGTCAGAAACATTTGATTTAAGTGATTTCTTGACTCTGCAAGTCTGACAGTAATGAGGCCTACATGTAATTTTATGAACAGAGGCAATTAGATTTCCATAAACAGCAAGGCCAGTATGATTTGGATGAATTTCTTCCCTAAGTAAATGAGGTAATTATTTTTTAGCTGACTTTTTCCTCGGTTTATCTTTGATATTAAAGTTTGTTTGATAAACTAAAACATTAAAATCTGACAAAAAGACAAGAGCAGGAACAATGTTTAAGGGATAAGCACCTTTTCACAGCTAGCCACGACGGTTTTGGTAGATTTATTACCCTCGTCCTTGAAAATATTCAGGACCTCTTGATCTCGACATCTGATCCATTTTAGAATTGCAGAATAAACCAATTGTTGTTCTTATCTGTCCAACCAGTATTCTTCCCAAGTCATATTTGGTCCAACTTTGTGCTCTGCAAGCAAGGGAAGTGAGGGTGTCGGGTCAGTCTGACCCAAAAAGGTGCAAAGAATCCTTTTGCAAAAACAACTCCATAAATAGTATTTTCTCTCTTACAGCGACAGACTTGCTTGTAACATTCAAAAAAGTAACGGGAAAAACCATTTTTATGGATTATTTGTCTACACAGCTGCTGCTCACTCAATATTTTCTCATTTTCTGATCACTCTTTAAGCTCAGGAGATTGTTGTGCATTAAAGGTTCTCAGTAGATCGGTAGTTTTGGAAACAGTCAAGGCCCCCTGTTTGGCAAAAACAACGCCATGGTTACAGCCATTTAAATGCCCTTTCTTCCTCTTTGTCATGCGTTTTATTGATCTTCATCAAAACTACTTCACCACAACGAGATGCCTAAACGCAGTGAGTTTCTGCCAGTGGCTGATTCGTCATTTACGTTACAACGGAGTTAATCATGTGTACCTAATAAAGTGGTCCATTCTATTTTACAAGTCCAAATCCATTACAAATTATGATCCAGCAGTTAAGGTTGTTTTTTGATACAGGATTCAGAATTTCATGGGTCATGCTCAGCTTGAGAAAAGGCAGCAATCTAATTATGGCTAAATCTCACACTTAAACTAAACTAGGATTATTATTTTCTTGTCCAATGACAATTGTTTGTTTGTTTGTTTTAATTACATATTATACCTAAACACTTCCATGCTGAGATGCTAATAATCTGTCTTAACTAACTGAAAACCGAGAAGATAAATTGAGCAATTTCACTAAGATGTTAAAGTTGAATCTACACTTTAAAAAGGTCAGTTTGTTTGCTGTGTTGTTGTCCATCTCTGCCTTGCTGTCCAATAACATGTGGCGGTAGTTTTACAGCACAAGGCTGACTTCTTTTGGTCAAGAGCAGCACTGCACACGTGTTGTCACACAGTCTTCACCTAATGAGCACATGCGTGCCTGCAGCGGGACAAACTCTGGCTGGAAAAAACCTCCACATATGTGCTGTCTTCTAACACATTTGTTGGAAACAAATACACAGTCGGAAAACCACACATAAATACGGCCCTCCAATCAAATACGGCACGCTTTGTCCGCTCTCACTTGAACACTCGGTACACAGTGCATTATCCTCGCTCTCAAGGAAAGAACAGCAGGTTATTGGGATTCTCCTCATGCGTCTGCCCGTTCCAGCTGCCGCCTCGCTGTTTCCCTTCCTGCTCTCGTTGTCCTGTTGTCTCTTCTCCCCTCTTTTTCTCTTTTTTGCCTTTAGGTCTCTGTTTCTCTCCAACTTCTTTCTATTGATCAGACACTCCTCTCACTCCCACCGCTTGCCTCCCCACACTTGGAACAAATCTCGCTGCCTTCTCTGAAGATGTCACTTGGTGGGTGACTGATTCCAGCTGTGCAGAGGGCTGTGTGTGGCAGCTGCAGTTGTTCTGCTGATATCCATGAAATGACTTCCTGTTTTCTAAAATTCCTTTGGCTCTAGTGGCCTTTATATGATAGTTAATTGACAGGAAAGTGGGTAATGAGAAAAGGGGAAGACATGCGGCAAAGGTTGCAAGGCTGGGAATCGAACCTGCGACGGCCCCGTGGAGGACTAAGGCCTCCGTATGTGGGTTATGCTTAACCCCGGCGCCAGCACAGCACACCAATTGACTTCATGTTTGCCTGTAGTTGAATTGGATGAGTCTGGCTTGCAGAGGAGAGTTAAAAAGGTATTCATTTATTTTAGAAACTCAAGCTAAATAGAAGGTTCTAGAGATTTATGCCAACAACAGCATGATTGTGAAATAAAAAGTGCCGCTCAATTATCTGATTCTATGCCAAACACAAGCAGAGAAGCACAGAAGTATGCTATCGCTATTATTTTTCACAATGGAGTGATATGTGCTCCACCAAAAAACTTCAACATGTCAGCCAACAATGTCTGATTTTCTTCTGCCAAATATTTGTTCTGTCATTATCCATCTCTAAAACACCTTCTGTTCTTTTTATTCCTGTTGTTGCATATATACCAGATTTGTGGACAGACACGCAGCAGCAAATCAAAATGTACTTGAATGATAGTCACTGATTCTACAGATGCTCTCATCTGATGAACAACGTGGCCACAGTCTGATGCTGCCTCCTCCATGCTTCATCATGGGGATGAGGTGTTTGGTGTGATATTGTGCTTGTTTTCTCCCACATAAAGTTTTGGATTTTCATAAGTCATGAATTACTGCTTAAGGAATTACATTTTGTTTCTTAATGAACACTCCAGAAACTTTATTTATGATTATTGGTGGGTTATTTTTAATGCAGTCAGAATGTGTTTTCCTTACTTAGAAACATTATACTCCTTTATTTAAACAGAAACATCTGTTCAGACATCAAAACAACAGAGAGCAATAAAATAATTCATTTTACAGTTGTTTTATTTGAGACTTGCACAGCATTTTACAAACTTTGTATCATTTAATTCTTTACTCTAGCACTTCAAGGAGAATCACATTATTATGGAGAAAGGAAACCGTCTTATTTCCAGTCCATAATAAGGCCAATAAACAAAAGTTCTGCCAGAGCTCACTTCCTTTCAGTTTATTACCATCTCCACCCAGACTGATATTTCCTGGCTGCTCATCCAAACCGTAATTGAAAACACTTCCTTTGACTTATTGATTGTGTTGGTGAGTCTAAGCAAATATTTAAGTATTCTCAATCCGTTTCTCCTTCTTGTTTCTATCGTCGTTTTTGTGTGCGTGTCTCCTCGTTTCAAGCTGCACAGAAAGTAGAAACTGGCTGTGTTTCTTGGCATCAACAAACTTCTGATGAAAGGAATAGCATGGTGACAGACACGGCATTTCGAAATCCCATCCTCAGATATTGGTGCTTACCCACCACATTCCAGGATGTAAAAAGAAGACCCACAGCAGAGCTTCTGTGTCACAACCTTCTTAGATGTAAATCTCTGCTCGTCTCACTCTTTCAGACAGAAACTGTACACTGTCTAGCACCAAGCAGGCCAGGTAACACTAGATATTGCTAATATATTTCATGTCTGATGTTATTTATAAATGATTAGTTTGTGTTTCATGGCAAGCAGTAGATCTCAGGGATGTGGGTAAGGGAGCACCTGCACCTGCAGCACAGGGGTTGGTCTTGAGGTAACTTAAGGTCCTTTCTTCCCTTAACTTCTCTGAAAAAGAAGAGATTCAGTAAAACTAGATGACACACATCTGCCAATCAACATGCACTTGGATGAAATTTACATCTCTCCAAAGTCAACCATGAAGGTGACAGACACTGTTGCACCTTGAATCTCTCACCGCTATGAAAACACTAAGATGTGTTGAAGTATACTGAGCTGTAAAATCAAAGGTGAAAGAAAAAGGGAAAAAAGACAGAAGGAAATAAATTCTTCCTTTGCTGTAGTAAGGTCCAGTGAAGGACTCCCTTGCTGTGGTAAACTACCATGTTCTGAAAACATTAGAATAATCCAGAATTTAACTTGAGTGTATTCTAAATGAAATAATCTTGACATGTACATAAATTATTTGACTGCCAGGGTTTCTATGTGAATGAGCTGAGTGTTGTGGAAGAGAAACAGATTCACAGCATCACAGATCCTCCACTGTGCCCAACAGTATGCATGATGTCACCTTTTCACATGAACAGCCTTTCTTATATAAAATCTGCTTTGTAGTCTCGGTAGTATTGCATACACAAAAGTGTTTGTTTATTTATTTATCCGTTTGTTTATATTTTTTATGGGACATCTCCTGAAAAAACAGTTGTTAGGTTGACAGTGATGAAAGGTTGCTGTGGATAACCGACAACCAAATCATACCACACTTTACCATTGATTTTCCATGGCAACATCTGAATATATTTTTAAATTTGTTAGCACATTTTTCACTGCGTGGGAAGTCAAAATAAACGTCTCATTCAATCTGGTGTGATACATTTTCTTTCTTTATTTATTTTTCTATTTAACTTTTACAATAAATATGGTTTACCTCGGGTTAATTTACTTATCTTCATTACTGATTTATGGAGATGAACACAATAAATTTCTAGATAAGATTAGTGAAAAAAATATAGCTAAAAAAAGCACAAATCTGTTCTATTTCTGTTTCAATAGTTTTTGAGGTTACCAATCAGTATTTCCCAAATAGTAATAAACAAAAACACAAATGCCACAATACAATTTTTTTTTCCCTTAGGATTCCACACCCTCATCCCAAAGCTGTAACATTTTTATTTTAACCTGTTTAAATAAAGAAGAAAAAGAAACACCACACATTCCACATGATGAGCCAGCATGCTGTTTTCCTGTTTTAAGGTGTGTTTACTGACCGAAGAAAAAGAAAATCAGATTTTTTGGTGTCTCGTTTGCCGGTCACCAGCCAGGCAGGTCAAGCTGAAAATCATCCGATTCCGGTCACCTGTCTAACAGAAAGGGCATTTTTAGTTTATATCTTGTAATATATATATATATATTTTAGTATCTTTATTATTATTTTGCTGTCGGGCAATCTATTTTTAATTTACCTTGCTTACCTTGCTTTGCTGGTATTTCTACATACTGTGTTGTCAGATCCCTAAAAGAGCGATGCTGACATATTTAGTTAAAGCTGCATTTCAGAATGTGGTTGAAACGCAAATCAAAAATGTAATTGTGCATTGTTGTTGTAATAATAATACTCTTAATACAGTGTCCTGTGATTCATACAATTCAGTTTAGATTTGAATATAGTTGAGTGAAAACCAATCACCCTTACCATTTTGCTTTCATAACTTCTATGTGTTTTGGCAAAGAGCTGAGTTTAAATTTCTGTCTGAAAATTGTAGAATAAATCTTCCATGTCATAAATTATTTCTATTATACATACATAATTTTATGTATGTATTTATTTATTTGTCCCACAAAATGACGTATCAGTCTGCTACAGGCCTGTAAAGATGGGTTCATTGTTTGCACGTCTGCACTTATGAACAAGGCAATAAGAAGGAAATCTTATTATCTTTTAAAGCAGAACCCCCAGATCATCACAGATGCTGTAGTCATGATTTTCTCACAGCTGTCATTTAAATTTAGACAAGATAAAGCATCAGCGATCAACATAATCTGCATAAACATGGGAGGCTGTCGGAGTTCAAGTCATTCAGCATTTTTTTTTTTTGTCATATTAGCTTCTCTTAAATGCTTCCTTCCTAGTGTTTTTCTCTATCTTCACCTGTTTTTTTTTCCTCCTCCAGCATGGCGGTGTTTATCAATCTTCCCTCCCTCTCTCCATTGTCTCATCTCCTCTGTTTACCTGTCCTCACCTCGCTCGTTACAATTGCCGTACACCCTATAAATGTCTCTCCTTGTCACCGGCACATTATTTCTGCATAATTTTTTGTTTTCGTCTCCGGTCCTAAGCATAATGTTTTGCTGCAGGCAGGAAGCATTGCGCTGTGCTGCTCAACGTGTTAAACGCACCTCGGTTCCCTCTTTCTCTGGCTATTTCACACCTGGCTGCTTCCGTCTAATATATCTCCCGACTTCCCAGCGCAGTACACCACAACAGTCATTAATTGGAAGGAAAAGGAAATCATATACTCTCTTCACAGATCGAGCGGCAAACATCCTGCATGAGTTAATATCTGCTGTGCTGCCTGCAGCTGTAGCAATAGCCCAGTTTTATAAAGCATTAAACTTTGATATTTTAATTTGTCTAGCAGTGTAAAACCAAACTGTAGGACTAAGAAATTCATCAGTGTGTGGGGACTTTTAGCATATATTTATGTTTGCCACGAGCCATTAATTATCCCCTACCACCATCCTCCATGAATTTCATCAACTAGTGCCATGAAAAAGTACTTTCTCCCTTACAGATTGCTTCTGTTTCAGACACTTTGTCACACTTACATGGTTCAGATAATTAAATAAATTGTATTACCGCTGGTCTGACTTGATTATGTACTCCACTATCACCATCATGTTAGGCTGCCTTTTTTAGATTATTTTCTTTGAATATAATATTGTGTTAGTAAACTGAACTTTCACTACTTTCCAGGTTTCTTAGGTTTAAGAAAACTAGGATTATTGATTAGGAGCTTAATCAATAAAAATTGATTAAGCTGTGATATTTTCTTTTGTTTTCTGCTAAGACAGAAGGAATCTTGCAATCTTTTCGCTGAACATCAAATAATATTTTTAATATATAACTAAAAGTCTGCAGGGCATCTGTAGTGCAGATTGTAATATCTCCCACACCAACTGGAAGATATGAATAAATGAATTTCTATGGTCCTCTTGTAGCTGCATTCATGTGGCCAGAGTTTACTTGTCCTTCTTTTTTAACTCATCTTATTTTTTCCTTGTCCTCCTTTTTTTCTCTTCCACCTAGTTTGCGCTCTGTGCACAATGGATCTATTTTTTGTTGTCTTGTTCACTTCATAACTGCCTTGACAAGTCTCCCATTGATTATGCTTGTAGATTAGAATTGATTTTGCTCTTCCCTGTATTTTCCTTTCTGTTTGCTCTTTCCCGTTATGATGAGCATCTTCGTCACTCTATTCATCAGAAAGACAGACTGAAAGATTTTCGCCCTCAGGATCTGTACTATTGCACTCTGTGCAATCAAAAATAAAAACCTCAGAAAACAGCTAAACAACAAAACCAACTGACCAGGTGTTTAAGGGAATAACTAAAAAAATTGTGTGTGTTTTTGACTCGTTTATGTGCAGAGACGAAGACTTCTCCCATACCATCCTCCAAAGCGCCGCAGAAGGCCGAGCCTCCGGTGGGCAGAGCTGCCAGGGTCGTCACATTTTTCTCTCCTTTGCTGTTAGGGATGATGCTGTTGTTCATGTGGTGAGCACCAACACACACACACACACACACACACACACACACACACACACACACACACACACATGTTCGAATTGATTTTTGAACTTCACTGGTACAGTATATATTAACATGGTCAATGAATTACTTTATTGTTTGAGATTGAAATGAAATGCAATACGTGTGTCTCTGATTTTGTTTAAAGCCGACACATAGCTTTGGAAATGTAAAAATGCAACTTGACCTTTTCCTTTTTGTTTTTTTTTTCTTTTTTAGTTGACAGTATAGTCTATATTTGTATTTGATTTAATGGATCAAAACAAAGTAGTGCATATCTGTGAAGAATAAGTCCAAAAGAATAAATGGACTTTTCATTTTCTTACAATTGTAAAACAGTAAGTGTAGTTTTTATGCGTAATCAACTCAACTGCACTGACTCTTTGAATGACCGATTTTCAGCTTCGTGTTTTAGGTTTTGCTCGTTTTGTGCTTTGCCAGATTGATTTTTCTTTGTCCATTCTTCTATGCAACACAATTAAGATCAAGCAGAGGAATAATATCCATAATCCATTTTCAAACTCTGCCATAGAATCATAGTTGGATTTTGTCTTGTCTAAGTCATGATATGTTTGTTCCTGCTGAATCAAAAGAACTCCATTTAATGATGCTGCCTCCAATATGTTTTTCTTCAGGATATTGTTCTCATGCCGATGTGAAATTGTGGTTTTCCTACACAATTTACATTGTAGATCTAGACCTGAAAGTTCACTTCATGTCTCCTCTTCTTCTCTCTTCTTATTTTGAATATTTCTTTGAATGTTGAATGATTTTCCTTTGTAATTTGCAAATATCCATAAAGATGTTTTCGTCTACCACATAAAATGCCAATAATAATAACAATAATAATAAACACACTGGGATATGCTTTTTTTAACCTCTTCAAGTTCAAGTCGTATGAAGACTTTCTCAAGTTCCTGCTAGTCAGATTGGTGGGTTTATATAACATGTTTGATGATTCACAAGTTGAATTGCTTAGCTTTTTTTTCTTTGTGCCTCTCCAGATGTTTTAATCCCATGGAGTGACAACAGGTGGGAGGAAGAACAGGATAAAGAGGCGGAGGCTGATGTTTTTTCTATTTTGCACATGTTTTTGAGGATACAGTGCATTGATCATATCTGTCCATCACACAGTTACTCACCAAAATTTCTTAAGAGGGGAAATCAGACAGTCATTGTTGGCTGACGGGGACAAAGACATTCTTCAGAGGAACTTTTGCAAAACGACAACATTGACAACAAGAGCAGCAGCAGAGGCAGCAGAACAACCACCACAGCAGCAGCAACAGCATCAAAGTGATTAATGTTACGCCCCTGTGGCTTCAATGAGCCGCGGCAGACTGATTTGTTGGTTTGTTTGGTTCAGGAAGCTCCTTCTCCAACCAAGAAAACCACCACATTGTTCTTTTTTTATTCATTAATTGACTTTCTCCCTTACTTTTAAACTGCAGAGCGCTTCACAGACAAACGCACGCTTATCGCAGTCGTGCCTTTGTGTGTGTGGCTACTGTAGCGTCCCCACATACAGCTCAACCATCATGCCAAAGACTCATAAACACCCCAACCAAGTGGCTCCAAATTCTTTCACTGAGCTTCCCGAAGCTTGTGCCTGTGCTCAGAAAGTGTGTACATATGCAAGTGGAGTGGTGACGCTGAAAAGTGCTAAATGTATCAAACCTGAGGATATTTGCAGCTCCTGTTTGTGTACTGACACACACGCACACACACACGCACACACCGTTTAGACAAAGACGCCACTGTAAGCCTCCATCAGACGGTGCTCCGCACGCCTCCAACGACTAAATCAAACCGCTGGAGGGAGCCTTTATTCGATCTGGGGACTAACACTTTGAAGAATTCAGTAATGGTAGCTCGACTTATCTAGACCGTTAGCTTTACATTGTGCTTACAGCGAGTGATAAGAAGGACCTGGATTGTAAGAAAAATAAAAATAAAAAAAGATTTAAAAAAAAAAATAAAGTAAATAAAAATTAAATAAAAATAAAAAGAACAAAAATAAAGTGGTATGTCGGTTTCTGTTTCTGCTCTATGCTGTAAAAAAAAACAGTAACATTAATCTGTTGGCTTTCCAAAGTCTGGCGCCTTTACAAACATTTTATTATTTTTCAGTTTACATTTTAATAGCCAATATCAGCAGGTATTATTATGTTATACAAATAAATATTGATGTGTTTATTGTAATTTTTGAATTTTATGGACAAATAATAAAAAGATGCATATAGGGCTTTAGTTTTTTTTTTTGTTCCCTTTGTTTTTTTTCAGACATTCATAATGGCTTACTTTCTTGATTCTATTTTGTAAACTATGATATGTAACTTTAACAATGAACAAAGTTTATTATTTAATATTATTAATAATGATAATTATAATGTATGTATTAGCATTAGAATGTCGTAACCTGTACCTGGGGTCTTTTTTATAGATGTATATACAATGACAGGTTTCAACCATTAAATGTGACCATTTCACAATGAATTCTGATGAGCTGGCATCATTTTCATGTCACCTTTTAGTACAGAATACAATGGAAATGTATCAAGTTGGTGTATCTCTTTTAATAATTGCCTTCAAAGTGTACCGTATCAAAATGTCATCATACAGATGAATTCTTTCCTCCCCAATTAGTTACCTTAATCACAAAATTAAACAAAGCAGATTTTGCATATTTCTCTGAAAAATTGTACATTTATCATTTGAAACAATTGTATGTTTTTTATCAAGCTAGTGACTATCACGTCTTTGATAAAGTACAAATGCATAAGCCAACCATATAAATCAAAGCTTAATTTTATGTTTTACTACTGGGTTGCTGGTTCCACTCAAGCTTTCATTGGGTGGAAATGTTTTTGATTAAGAAACACTGAAAATCTTTAGACTAATTACACATCTAGTTTTGTATAGGACTAATGTTTTCTCATAAGTTCAAAGAAAGATTCATCACCTAGAATTCAGAAACCTGACATGAAATATTAGAATTCAGAATCCTGACATGAAATATTAGAATTCTAACATTTTATGTCAGAAAAAGTGTGTGAGATTTAGTCACAAATACAAAAGTAAGATGGTGCTTCACACTGATGCAACAATAATATATTCATTAAGTGTGTGTCTGATATTTATTGGGTTATTATTGTTGTGACATATCAAAAATCAGTGGTATCTTAAAGAGATGCAAATAATCTGAAAGTGGTATTTTAGGCACATTGAGCCCAATTGAGCATGGATCTTAATCTGAGTTTCAAAGACCAAAAATAATAGTTTTGGCTTATCTTCATAAAGCTTGTGGAAATTCTGCGAAACAGTATAAAGACAATTGAATCAGCAAAAAGGCAAGCAAAAGTCATATTTCACATACCGTCAAGATTTTCACTGCTGGAATCTTTGTGTGTGTGTATATATATATATATATATATATATATATATATATATATATATATATATATATATAATAAATTCACTGATTTTCTACATTGATCCACTTCAATCCATTTGATTTATAAAGCACTTTAAAAATGATATTGAATGAAAGTGCTGTACAGAAAAATAAAAGTATAATAAAAAGAGTAAAATGCAAAAGCAGATAAATTGGTTATGCAATTAAAAAAAATTGAGAATAGTGGAAGAGAACCAAATACATAAGTAACAGTCATATGTTCAACATTTCAAATGATATGAAACGCCTGAAGGAAATGATGGCAAGACGTATTGAACCGATTCAAACACAGCAGAGTTCTCATCTGACTACTGTTTATGTTCACTTCATCATTTCACAGTGGCTTTGTGAAAAATGTCAAAAAACACTTTTTGTCATAAATATCAAGTTGTCAACACGTGTAAAGTAAATGGGAGCAGAATGAAAACACTGTCAGCAAATCAAGCTCGACTTATGGAGTAGTAAAAGCGGGTGAGTCATAAAAATCTTTATCTTGTGATTCATCGCAGCAAAACACGAGTAGCTTCTGTTCCGTTGCAAGAAAGAGAAGAAAAATTAGTTTTTATTTTTTGTTCAAGTAATAAACTCATCCAGATTCCTGCGTATCTTCTGGAGATTGCCATAAAGTCTATTTCACCTCATCTCTGTAACCAAGATGCAGTTTTCATTAGTTTATTTACGTCATCTTTTTGTTTCCTCACACATAAAGATAACTGGGCCAAATGTTCCTTGAATTGTTTATAAATGTTTGAGATCATAAAAAAGCCCAACTTAGGTATCAGACAAAAAATATTTGAATACGTTCTACCTAATAACTAGTTGTGCAATTATGATCACTATGCAGAATTATGGTTCAATTAATGTAAGTTGTCCAGATCTTGAAGCAGCCAAACGACCACAAATCGCCACACTGCCACCGTTATTCCTTCCATAACTCGTTCTTTGTGCTCTGGGTGAATCTGACTGATGCCAATTGATTTCTTTCTCGTCAAATCCTGAATTTCTTAGATTGGGGCAAAGTTTCGCATTTAAGGATCTTTTTAAATTATTTCATGTTGACATACAATTTCCATATATGCGTTTCTTAAGTCTGAAAGCTGTGCAGTCGTTAGACCTGGATGTAGCTAGAAAAATGAAACTCAGCTTTCTAAAAAGATGAGCTTCCTCTAAGTTAAAGGGGTTCATGAAAATGGTCTAAAAAATTTAAACATGATGAAAAAAGAAACTATACCTGATCAGTTAATTATAACATAGTCCTCTCTACGCATACTGTTAGCCCTTGTATAGATGAATAAATGCCTTAAAATACATTCTTCCTCTATTCCACTCTAGGTCCTAATTTAATGCTTTATGACTAATGTGGCAATTTTGTATTTGATGCAGCCAAACTAATTGGTCTGCTGAAGGAGATTATTTCTCTCACACCCTCTGACTTAATAAAGTGATAATAACATACCAGCTTGGGAAACCTCCTACAGGTGCTTCAAAATGAACTCTGTTCAAGCCCCTAAAAAAATCAAGAGCGAAATGTTTTATGGTATTTTCACTCGTAGCTATTCACCATGTATTATAAATGTCCCACTGGCATGGGTTAGAGTTGTGAAACAAAAGAGATGAATATAAAATCCTGGAAAGATCTTCAACCTTTTGATAACTATAGAATATTATAGCAGATCATTTCAAAAGAGAAAATTGAAATAGCCACTACTATTCTCGGTTTTAGGAGTATGCTGTACTGTAAGTCCGTGTTTTGTTTTTTGTTTTTTTATGGTTTTAGGAACGCTGTTTTGCATTGGATTTTTTCTGCCTTTTCAATGGCTAACAATGCAATAAAAAACACTAAGAACTGTTAGGACATCATCTGCTCTTTGTTGATGATGTAGTTTCTGAGAAAAATTATGTATTGGAGTACAATTGATTAACGGTATGCACAACTCTTTCCTTGGTGCCTGCATAATTTTGTGCCTGTTTCAAAGCAAAATGCTAAACCATAATTGAGCCTGTTTGATCAATATGCCTCATTTAATGTGATGCTAACACCTATTGGAGGACATGTGCAGCTTAAAAGTAAGAAAAACTCTCCAAACATTTTCCATCGCTGCTGTTTTATATTGTTTATTTAAATTCCTGAACACGGCATGAAGCATGAAACATTTCATTTTCCGTCCAAATCTACCTCAAACTTTTTTTTTTCCCTGTTGAAACATGTTTAAAGCTAGGAGTGAAAGCATGTAATGCTGCACTCAAGCTTTCCCAGAGCTGCCTTTTGCTCTGCAGCGGTTTGCTCTCTTCAGGTTTACCACCTCTGGCAGATGGGCATTGGACTGAGACATGGGGTACGACCTTCACTAGATGCTTTTTTCCCACTCTGAAAAGTCAGAGTTGTCATTCTGAGAGAAAAAAAAATCATGGCCACTTCCAGACAAATTTCAGGAAACTGTGTGATGTCCCTCTCTGGTGTGTCACATAGAGTGAGGTCGGTGTCATACAGTGCGTAGCTGTTGGCTAAAGCCAGATGTGTAAAGTGCATCAGAATCATCAGTGTCCATTTCCTTCTTCAGCCACTCGTTCTATCAATAAGATCACTTCAACCTACCTTTAGGTTTAAAATTCATTGACAATACTTGGTCACTGGATCACTTACCTTTTCAGGTTTTCATTCTATTATTGGCAGAGTCTGAGACAGACGACCTATCGCCAAGCTTTCTAAACCCAGATTTTCCACCATTGAGTTGTGTCCAGTAACACCAGTTACTCCAGTATTTGTGACAGAGAATAAACTTCTGGGGGGAAAACAGCAAAACAAAAGTCTAGTCAATTTGTCTTTGTAGATTTATTTCTAAAACATTATGCAGCTTCTTGGGCTGTAGTAAACAATACTGCGATCTTCCCAAAATGCAATTTTGATATTGTGCTACTGTGGTAGATGATTGACTCATTGTGATGGGTTTTTTTCCGCATATTTACCAAGGACAAACATTTTAATTAAAGTTATCTGCAATTTGAATGATTTCTGAAGCGTTTTGTAGAGGTGACATCATTTTTGTATGAAGGAGATAAAAGCAGGATTTAATTATGTTTGTTTTATTTATTTATTTATTGTGATGTTGCATCTACAATAAAATCTGAATTTATTTTAAGGATCTTTTTACAGATTTTTCATCAAAATTGCAAGGAATTGTGTTGTTTCTTTAAGAAACATTTGAAGTTTAAGTGGGAAAAAAAGGAATCGCCACATTAAAGGTAAAACTGACACAAGACCGTTTTGGATCAACTTTCGTGTATTTACCTTTAAGATGAAAAAAACAATGCAGCAAACGTGATGGGAGATACCTTGGGTCAAAATTTCCTTTCTGACCTTTTGCTCTCACTCTCCCTGTCTGTCTCTCCTCAGTCTGTCCAACTGTCTGCCTCATCTTTCTCTCAAGCTCTCTTTCTGTCATTATGCTGACAAGCTCTGGCAGGCCGATTTGGAGGCCGAGGACAAATCAATACACCATCTAACAGCTGTCAGCTGGGGTCCTCTGTGTGTGGGGGGTGTGTGCAGAGCCGCGATCTGCTGGCGTGGTACCGCATTCATTACTCTTTCCTCTCTTCCGTCCCCGCTCGTATATAGTGGCTGGCCTTTTTCTTTTATTTAATGAGGGTGTCAATGAGAACTCAATTAATATTTACAATGACAATGAATTCAATAAGGAGGGTGCAGAGGACACCGATTTTATTATCCTTGTCATTGTCGGTGCAGAGAATCCATTGCGGTTTGCTCCTGTTGTCGAAAAACAGGATTTGTGAAATTTGAATTTAAACCTGTAAAACTTTAATTAAATTACAACAGAAACGTCCAGGCTTACCTGTCTGCAGCCAGGGAGTGATCCACATTAACCTCAAGTAAATGGGAAGGAGTGTATCAGTGTGTGTGTGTGCGTGTGTGTGTATGCTATCCAGAGCCTGTCAGTTCCAACCACACTGTTCAGGTCTAATGACTGCTTTGACCTTTCACAGAAAACGGGATGAATGGCGTGATATCTGCTTCCCTCTCACCTCTGCACCCGCTTCTGGGCTCTCACCTTTTTAAATACTTACATCTTACTGCCTCTTTTTCCTCTGCTAAAGTTCCATAGTTGATGTTCTTAAAATTCAGTCATATAAAAATCTCAATGCATGTTTTTCAGTTTCTCTATATTGTTCTTCTATGGAAGATGGATTTCTGAAATTTAGATTTTTTAACCACTCTTGTATAATTTTGCTCACTTGCTCTTTTAACAACAGTATGTTTACTGTTCATCAAAGTTTGCTAAAATTTTGAACATTGAATGCACTAGGAAAACTTATCAAATAGAAATCAAATGCAATCCAACCTCCACCTGATGGTTTATTACAGTGTTTCATTTTTTACCTGTTTTTTCTTGGGTTTTTGTGAATTTTTGCAAAGAATTTAGCTGTGCATAACACTTCAGTGGAAAGAATGAATTACAGGTTGTAATATGCTTTCATATTGACTCAGTATGCTATTGAACTTTCTGTTTGTTACATTAAAAGGTTCAAGGGATTTGCAAATATTTTGCAAGGAACTGATGGTAATAAACACAGCAAAGCTTTTGCTTAAGTTAAATCACCATGAACTAAAATATATCCAACGCAATCAAAAAAAAATTTTCTTAAACACTTTTAATGCATTTGATAAAAAAAAAAAAGAAACAGAAAAGCAGACCAAAAACACATCTAAACAAATTGTAAATATTACTATAAATGATAGTGAAACATATCGTTGATAGAAATCAGGTTGATAGGAATTAATGGACTGGAGTTATAGTAATTTGTTTTTCCACTAGAGGGAAGCAGAGACTCTAAATATTTCCATGCTCTGTCTATGGTGCTGAAAGTCACTTAAATCTTTGTGGTTCTCTCCAAGGTTCTGAATCATACAAAGCTTTTGAATATTATGAACTGAGGTTCATATGGAGGGTCTCTTGTGTTCAAGTTAGCAGCAAAACTCAGCACTGTTGCTAGGACACAGGGTCTTTAGTATTTATTACACATTTGCAAGAGGGCGGAATGAGGACAAGATCAAAACTGGTGAAAAATGTCTTGTCCAACAACATATCTTCAATGGAAGACAATAGGCAACTCATTCACAACTAGCTTCATTAGTGGGACTTAAAATCAAACCAATGTGATAACTTTGCAGCAGTGTGTGCATTTTGTTTGGGAGTTTTTTCCCTCCATGCGAAATCCATGATAATCCTAAACTCTGAGAAAGGTCAGTGTAATAAAGTGGTTGGCGATTTTCTTTTATGCTAAAATTGCCCTATAAAATATGCAGGCTTGATAAGTCACATGACTCATCTCATCTCCCTCTTTGTACATCCTCAAAATTAAGACGGCTCATTGTGAAGCAGAACAACAACAATCCAGCACATCAAAGGCAGAGACAGGGTCCTTCAAATGACAAAGCAAATTTTGCGCCAAGGCTCCGCTCCATATGCAAAAACTTTATGCAGATGTGGGGGGAAGCAATAAGTATAACGAATATCAGAGATTAGGCAGAACATAATTGGAAACAAAAGAAAAAGGAGCTCCTGAGTAAAATACAGAATCCTTAATGACGACCCACAGAGATACGATTAAGCAGACGATTGTAATAAAGACATTTCATTAAAAGGGATTAAACTTGCCTTACACAATCCCAGTTATTTAATAGACATCATTAAAATTGGATTTTTCATATGAGAAGTGAAATTTAAATTTATCGCCTGCTAAGTTTCAGCATTTGAGCAGATGAATCTATTTTTAAAATCTTCCACTCAGCAGGTTTGCCTAAAATTAACCGCAGGAGCTAATATCATCTGCCAGTCACAATTTAGTGCTGGACTCACTCTGCCTGAAAGCTTGACTCTGGAAATTCCATTTTTATCTGAACTAATAGTGTAATATTTCCCACAGGCTTCATTTTGGATTTGAATTGAAGAAAAAAATTATTCTTTTGATTAATGGTTAGATTAGATTCTCATTAAATCTTTCATTAGTTTACTTCTTTAACTGATCATTTTTAGAGATAATCAGTGCTAAGTCATTATTATGTGGTCTCCTGCCCCCTCTTGTGGTAAACATTTTACATTTTATATGGGCTTTCTAACTTGCATCTCTTTTAGATAAATTAAACTTGATCATGAGATTCATAACTACTGTCACAAAAATCATTCTTATTTTTTACCTGCTGCCCATGGCCTCTCTACAGATTTCTTTTGTTTTTGCTTAAATGCTTCAGATCATCAAATAAAATTCCATATTCAATATCATTAAGCTGTAGAAGCTATCCAAACTGACATGGCCCTGTGCAAAAAAAAGAAAAAAACAAAGAAACAAGAAGAAGAAATTGCACCTAAATCTCAGATCTAGTTGAGCTACTGAATAGCAATGACTGACATCAAATGTTTATGATAATTGGCATTGTGTTCTGGTCATTTCCCCTTTGCAGAAATTATTTATTTTATCCATGACCGATGTGGAGCGCCATCTCCCAGGGAGGCAATTTTGTGTCTAGTCTTTTACTAATTGTTAAATCTTGAACACTGACTTTACCTGAGGTCAGGTAAAGTCAGTGCTTTGCAGATTTTTCTGTTTTATTTAGTATTGGTTTGGGACTTTCTGGTTCAAACTTTGATTTATACTCTTAGACTTTTTTTCTTTCTTTTTTTTTTTTTTTTTTTTGATTAACCAGCCCCTCCTGAATGGGTTTAGCAGTGTTGCATGATTTATTCTGTTGTAAATAAATACAAATAAATACATTGACTTTGGTTAGCTTTGAAACAACTTTGCTACTCTTTGTTGTGGTTTTTCTACTTAAGTTGAATATTTTTAAATGATGCCCCGCTTTTGGAAATCTTTCAAGAGGGTTTATGTTTAAATGAATTGTTACATTTCCAGGTCAGATAATAATCAGGAATGAGCTTGACTTGTGAAATTCAGCTCAGCTTTCAAATTTTTTTAGTTTAATTAATGAATTAATTGACAATGGAGGATAAGTGCTTTTTCTGTCCCATCTGTTTAGATAGCTCCCCCCCCCCGGCCTCCTTAGTGAATAAAAACATAATTTAAAAACTACATTTTGTTTTTACTTTTATTTATTGTGGAAAGACTGTCTTTGATATTGTGAAACATCAAAACATGACAAAAACAAAAACAACAAATCTGTATGGGGGCAAACATTTTTTTTTTGACTCAACTACACAAACTAAAATAAATAAAATTAATATGACTCAAACCAGCCCAAAGCAGTGCTCTCTAATCCCAACAACATATATTAGTGTTGAAATATTATGGTCTTTAGTAGAAAGCAGCACTCACAGACCCAAGTGAAAGAAAGATTTTACCAGAGAAAATATGAAGGTCATTTTTAAATTTAACCAATGTGAATTCCAAACTTTACTTTGCTCCAAATCCTGACTAATTTCATGAGTTGCTAGAAGATACATTCTTAGTTATTCATTTTTCCTAAAAGCTTAATGGCAAGAGCAAGGTCCTGGCCATAGCTTTGCCTTGCTAGTGATCAATTACTCTGTTGAGGTAATAAGTCAGCCAGAGAAGGAAATTCAGACCACAGATGAAAGCTGCTCATGAAACATGAAAGCTACTCATAATGCTCGGTGAATTCCACCCGAAATCCAGTATCCACAGGCTATATATTGTACACTAAGTGGAAAGAAGGAGGCAGATGAATAACAAGCATCAGAGCCACTATCCAAGATGAAACATCCATGCTCTAAGAATATATCAGGAAGATGGCCCGAAGGAAAGGAGAGCTCAGTGAATATCCCAGACAAAAGAAGCTGAAAGAGACAGAAGGAGAAAAACCATCATAGAAGGAAAAACCTTGAAAACATCCTGTACATAAAAACTGTTTGGTTCATCAAAGGCTATATATATATATATATATATATATATATATATATATATATATATATATATATATATATATATATATATATATATATATATATATATATATATATATATATATATATAAAATAATAAACCATATTTTGCAGGTAAAATTTTCTCATGTATTAATGAACAATTATCTTGCTGAAGGCTGAATGAAGGCTAAACTATTATCACCTGATCCCACTCATTCAAAGAGCTAGGTTTTATGACACAATACCATGCGAATATTATAAATTAGGTTCCCGAAATCATTAAACATCCTGTTATGTAGGAGGTGTGGCCTGTATGTCACCTGTAGAAAGTCCTGTGTTATGAGCTTTTTGCTAAGGAAACCATAGATATGATGTGCTTAAGTGTGCAATGCTTCCATGAAATCTGGTTATCTTAGTCAAAATCATGCTAAACTATATTTTGTTAATTATATTTAAAGTCCCTCTTGACCCTCGATATTAGAAATATCAAGTTTAGTTGCAATTGCTCTCATAAATTTCTATTAATTTTCAATAAATGTTTTAGTTTAGAATGTGGCGTTGGTAATGTTCCTCTTTGCTTGTCCAAAACAACTCGAAATAATATAACGGATTAAACTATACATTGTAGTTTGCTTTGATAGTAAATTGAGAAATATTGGTGTGTTTTAATGGCCCTTATGGCAATATTCACAATCCGTCCAAATCCGGCATGTCCAAGTCGCTGTCACTTGTTATTCCATCAATGAGCAGCAGGTGGCAGCAACGTGTGGACATGTGGAAGACTCTTGCAAAATACAGCAGAAGAAGACCCGGAAGCCCTAGCAGCAGGGTATTTGATGCTGTGCTATGGGGTGAGTATCTTGATATGTTTCAACTAGTTGCTCTTACTCGCTTCCAAGAGATAAAATAAGCAAATGTTAAATATTGTGACGCGGTGTGAAAGGAAGCGCGTCCCGTCGTGTCATTCGTGAAGGAGACTGTTGACTGCATCCAACGCTGACAGCTGCTGTCCGCCGCCTACACAAAGCAACATCTTGTTCATCACCGCTAGCTCTCAGTCAGCGTCACTAATGTCCCTGTAGCTCGATGAAATGCGCTTTATGGATAAAGATTTGTGTCCACCGCTCTCTAAAATTGAGATGTGGTTTCAGGATCGACGATGAGCCTGGGATATAAATAACAGCTAATTATTTTTACGCTCTGGTTCTTGCAGTCAGGCTGTGCTTAACTGTCGGAATGATTGAGGCTGTCCCACATTTCAGTCAGTTACATCAGACTCGGAGACATGTTGTTATATTCCCTCAGGGTTTACTCTGACATAACTTAAACTGTTGTTTTGAGCATTAATGGTTTGCTTACAGTGCCTTGCAAATGCAAACCAATGGATTGAGTCATGTAACCACTAACTTCATTGTATTTTATTGGGAATTAATGTGATAACTGACAAAAGGTAGATGTATTCCATTTTAATTCATGGCTGGTTAACAAGCCTTCTGAATCAGCGGTGTTCAAAAAAGGTAAACAGGCAGTGTGCCTTGAGGACATATCATGTCAGATCCCAATAAAATATATGTTTATATTTATTACATGACCAAATAAGAGAAATATGTCATTGGGTGTTTCTAGGTGAAAGTACTCAGAAGTAGTTAGTTGTGAAGGAGCACAAAGTTTGTAGCAGAATTTTTCCAAAAATATGGGATGGTTCATTCATTTCACAAAGAGCAACATTTTTCATAAACTGTAGATGATGTTAATATCGAAAGACAGCACTCACATTGATGAGGATTGTACATTTCTGTGGAGATAGGTCTTAAATTACGTTCACAATTGTCTCAAATTTGAGTTGGTGAAACCTGCAGAAACCCTGCTTTGGTGTTCTTCTGTACTTTGTTTCATTCCACAGATTAAATCCTTCCTTTCTCTCTCCCCCTTCTGCAGTCTGCCTTAATTTTGCTGATCTTCTCTGACGATAGGCTCCCCTTAGCCACCTTTTGACATGCAAGGCTTTTACTCCAAGCTCAACTCGTCCCCCTCCTCGTCTCCCCTGCTGGGGGTGGGCCTCAGGGCGGACGGCGCTCGGGTGCCTCTGAGCTTGGCCGTGGAGGCAGAGAAAGCCCAGGCGCTCCTGCAGACGTTCAGCTCCGCCTCTCTGTTGGCTTCGGCCGGACTCGGGGTGTTCTGTGTGGTGGCGGATCACGCCCTCCAGCTGTCTGCCATACAGCAGCACCTGTGGCTGCGTGCTGCCTTGGACAACGCCACACATGGATTGGTGGGACTGTGGTCATGGGCTGTTGTGATTGGATTGAGGAAAAAGAGTGATTTATATGAAGTGCTCCTGGCAGGCCTCCTGGCATCCGTTATAGACTTGGACCATTTCTACATGGCCGGATCTCTGTCTCTCAAGGTCAGAGCTGTGCTACTGCTCATGTTTTTTTAGGCCAAATGAAACCATATCAGTAGTCTAAAAGTATCTAATTTCCTCCTCCAGGCTGCCGTGTCGCTCCCCCAGCGGCCTCCTCTCCACTGCTCCTCCCTTATCCCCGTAATATGCCTCACCCTCCGCTTCCTGATGTGGCTTGGCCGCCTCAAAGACGCTTGGTGCTCCTTGCCGTGGATGCTCTTCATTTCCATGACGTCTCACCACGTGCGGGACGCCGTGCGCCATGGCCTGTGGGTGTGCCCGTTCGGCAACACGGCGCCGGTCCCCTACTGGCTGTACGTCAGCATCACGGCGACACTTCCGCACCTGTGCTCCGTGCTCATGTACCTGACGGGAACCAGGGACGTGATCTCAACCAAACATGGCGTTGCGATCGACGTGTAGATGCGTCAGTAAACCCTGGAGGAAAAACATTGTTGACAGTTTGAAACATTCAAATACTTGAAGTGACTGAAAAAAACTTTCCAACACTTGAAAGATTAAGATGTTTTTTTTTTGTTTTTTATTTATTTCAGAACAGTTTTACAAATCAAACAACTATATTTATAGTTCCAGTCAGACTTGTACAGAGCCACATGAGCATTGGGGTAGCCTGATGATTCAGTCTGCTCCTTTAATAATAATAATAATAATAAAAAAACAGAACTGAATGCAGAAGTTTAAATTTGTTTTAGATTATTATTATTTTCTTAAATCCACACAGGATCGTAAATACACATGTTCACCTCCTCGTGATATCAACCAGGTTCTGGATGGATTTTGACTTCTCTTCTTTTCAAGAGCGGTAGATAATTCAAATATCTTTGCTTGATATCATGGACCCACCTTCATGTATTGCAAAAATTTTTAAATATTGTTTAGATCAGGGCCACAAACAGTTTGTCCTCATAAACACCCCACATTTGTCCAAGTTTTTTGGCTGGAGCTTAACTTAGAAATTACCTTTCTGTGCAATTCTGCTTGATTCTAATCTCACTTCAGTTGTCTGCCTGGGTTTTCTCCCATTCACCTGGATTTCTCTGGTAGAATTCAACTCTGCCAATCAGAAAACAGAAGGAAAAGCTGTGAACAGTGAAGCCGATTTACTCTTTGCAGTAGAAGATGGTTGCTCATTGACAAATGATTTCAGCGGAGGCAGTTTCCTGTAAGCTTCATTGCGTCAAATAGTTGCATTACATATATCATGGCCAAATGTTAGCGATTGGGTAAAATTTAAAATCTCAATGGAGTCGATTTCTCAAGTAGCAGAGGGTCCAGACCATCTTTATGAAGCAAGATGTATAACATAGGGCTGGTCTTTGCCAGGCCCGGAATTTGAAAGATGCTGTCTTGATCTCCATTCTCTTTGATAATGTAAAACTTGCCTCATTCTGGACAGTGACACTGGTCAACCACTTTTCAGTTGGTAAAAGGTCCTAAACATTGAGCATTGCTCCTAAACTTTCTAATATTTTATCTCAAGATGACAATTTGGGTCAGATGATTGAAACTTTGACTAGGACAGGTATCCCAAACACACATCACAAGCTGCTTTTGGAAGACCAACATTTGGCTTCTGGATTGGCACAAACCATAATCTTGTTAAAAGGCAATCAGTGTAAAAAGGTATACATTTCAGAAAAAAATGTTCTAGATATGTGACAAATATTTTTGGGAGAGTATGTATACATTTGAGCTTGTAAGTAAAGCTTTAGTCCTCTGGATTCAAGGAAATACAAAATTCTTTAAGTTGCTGCAGTTCTGTTGTTTGGTAATTTCACTTTGTGAAATGAACAGATCAAATACAACACAACACAATTTTGAATTTTTATGCTTATGAGTTGAAGTACATCTCTGACCAGAACTGTATTATCTTTTGAGTAAAGGAACATTCCAAAATGGGTGCCAATCTTGGATTATTATGAAATGTCTCTTTGTGGATACGTGTATTTAAATCTGCATCTGCAAAGTAATTTTCTCTGAAGTGACTCTTTTTCCAGTGACTGTTTTATACCAGCTTTGACACATTAGAAATTACCAACATTTGGGCTTTGAGATTCTAAAAGTATGGCAGAGAAGAAAGTATAAAATACGTTTGTTTGTTTTTTTCCAGTCTGGTGACTAGGAGCTGTGCTTTGTCACCCTTTGCTGCCCTCTACAGGAGTTACTGGTCACTTCAGCCCATTTCGTCTGATCAGGCCGTTCAGCCATATGGATTGTATGATCAGTAATTTTTGTGGTTGTGTCGGCGGGACTTTGTAAAAACCTTAGTTTATGTTGACACTGATCTACACCAATCGGTGAGGAATTTTACAATTCAGACTCAACAACTCAAGGAAAAGCCAACCAAAGGTCGACCACAGGCTGTTTGAAACTCACACACAATGTGTCCCGATGGAGATAGTTCAGATTTCAGAGCACATGTATAGATTTTGAAGATTTTCTGTCTGACTTCAACCAATGACGTCCATTTTAATCACCACTACACAAAATTGCCTATAATATGTAAGTGTTATATTTGTCCCTTCACCTGACTCTTCATTGTGATGCTTGAAGAAGCCATTCTATCTAACCAGCAGAAACTTGCTACTGTCTGAGCCTTTTGTCTTTTTGGCTTTCAGTGCCATCTTCTTCAGATAAGGACTGTTTCACTCTTCTGATTGTTTGCTTGGAACATTTAAGCATTTGGTGATTTTGGCAATCACAAATTTGAAATATGCTGGATTTTTATTTTACTTTTTGAGTTGGGTGTTCGTAACATTTTCACATGTTTTATTGGCTCAAAGGAACATTCACATTACTTTCATCAAAAACAGTTAAAAAATGAAAAAAAAAAAAAAACATTTACAGGTTGTCTAGTGAAATAGATGTACAGTGAAAACACATTCCTAAGCAGTATTATTAACACTAGAATTTTGCATAACAGTGATGGGATTGAGCGGTGTGATGTTTGATTGTAAGGTATCATAGGTACAATGTATTTCTCCCATGCTGTGTGTATTATAAATGTAAACTTTTCAAGCAAGTTGTGTTTTTTTGTTTTGTTTGTTTGTTTGTTTTTTGGGGGTTTTTTGCCTTCTTTTGGATTGAGAAAGTGGATGTATTAATGTCCCTTGCCCACTAGAGGGCTCTTGCGGTTTACAAATTACTGCTAAAAGTTTCTTTTCATAACTTCTTTTCGAAACTTAATGTTTTGCAACATTAAGTTTCGAAAATAATACAAGAACAATTGAGGGAAAGTTAGATTGAATTTTCACAGCTTATTTTATATATTTATATTAAAAAAATATATTTTTATTGCATGAGAGTATCTGATTTGTATCTGTCTCGTTTTGTTGGTGGCATCATTAATATTTGAATGACAGACATCCTTCATGTTTGTTGAGGTACTCTGAACATTAGTAGAGAATAATAGTTGCTTAACACTGGAACTTTACCTTAAAACTAAAGAAAGATCTGAGCACTGCAGGTGTTTTTGTCACATATTGCTGCACCAGTGGGTGTGAAAAATGTGTTTGTGGTATAAATGTATTTGAATTTGCTATTTAAAATGCATTTTTTTCGAGTAAAATATTTTACTGCTGCTTTTTTTTAATCTTTGTCTGATTTTGATTTGTTCTATATTTGCACTTTTAAGTTTTTAAAATGTGAAATATACTTAATTTTTGTTTGAGTGCTTTTGTAAGGTAGGGGTCTTTAGTATTAAGAACATATGCAGAGCACCTAGTTAATTCTAATGTTGTTCTTTTATCTCAATAAAAGATATACATAAATATGACTTTTTTTGTTTGTTTTTCTGAAGATTGAGCATAAAAATAGTGTTTATAGGTGGTCTAGTTAAATAGATGTGAAGTGAACTAAGCAGTATTATTAACACTAACATTTTCCATAACATGCAACATATTGATGGACTGTAGGAGTATGTTGTGCAATTATAAGGTATCATGGGGACAATGTATTTCTCTTGTGCTCAGTCTTTTCCCTTTTTGTTGATTGGAGAAGTTGATGCATTAATGTCCCTTATCCACTAGAGGGCACCCAAAGTTTATATATTGTTGCTAAAAGTTTCTTTTCAAGTCTTAAGTTTTTAAAAAATAATACAAAAACAACTGAGGGAATATATCATATTTTTATTCCATGAGAGAATTTGCTTTGTATCTGTCTCGTTTTGTTAATGACTTCATTAAAATTTGAATAACTGACATCCTTCATGTTTGTTGCGATACTCTGAAAATCTGGAGAACAACGGTTGCTAAACATCGAATGGTAAGGAAAGATGTGAGCACTGTAAGTCACACACCTCTGCACCAGTGTGTGAACAGGTTGTTTGTGGTATGAATGTATTTGCCATGTCATTTAAAATGCATTTTTTTACAGTAAATTTGCTTTTTCTCCTGTCACTAATTTTGATCTGTTGAATATTTGCACTTTTTTAATGCAAAATATAGAATTGTAATTAAGTCACTCAAACGTCACAAAGGTTTAAGTGCTTTTTGTGAGGTAGGGGTCTTTAGTACAAAGTAGCGTGGTGCTAATTCTAGTGGTGTTCTTTTAGCTCAATAAAACAGGCCAACTGCATAAATATTATCTTTGTATTTTCTTTAGTTCCCTGGTGAGTTTAAGGCCCATCTTTTTGTGGCCTGAGGGTATCTTAACTTGACACTTCAAGGCACCCATATAATTATTGTCAGGTTAAGACTAGTTATTTTACTTTTGAGTGATTTTATAACTGTTCTGGGAGAGCAACTATGTTTGCTCTCACAGAATGTGGAGAAAAATTGGCAATGGGGAAAAAAAGAAAAGAAAAAAGGTGTGTATTCATATCCCTCAAAAACACATCTCATATCCTGAAACAGCTGAGTAATTCACTATGGCAAGGTAGAAGTGGACATACTAACACAGATTAAAAATAAAAAGATACCTAAAAAGTTACTTACAAAGAGCTATGTAATGCATCTCTTGACTAAAACCTCACATTATATTCAAAGTAAAATATGTATTTCCTGTAAATGTTCAAATAGTGCTTGAGGGAACAAACAGATACTCCATTCAAGACCTTAGAGAACAATTTATTTTTAAAACGTTTCCAATACAAACTAATGTGAAGCAGTGACGTTCAACATTGAAACTGAACAGTTTCAGGAATTAACCTAAATCATTTTAAATATTGTAACTTTTTTTTTTGATGAATGCCATTTTGTGCATTATTTTCTGAAATAAGTAATACATATACAAAGTGAAAACAAGATTATTCTTCTATAAAAGCAAATGTGTATTCTGTTGAAGTCCCTTTAGACTCCCCATTTTGGAAATTAAAGGGTTGCTTTGTGCCTCAGTTTTAATGCACCACGACTAGAAGCAGTTTTTTTCACCTTAACAATGGTACCCTTAAACTATTCGATTGACATTTATAAGAAAAAAAAAAATCTAAAGTTATGCCCAATTCCTTAGACTGACTGATTCATTTTTTGAATATTATAAAGGCAAAAGAAATGTCTTCCCAATATTCAAGTACTCACTTTTGAAGATAAAAGCATATTATGTTGTGACTCAAGTACTTGTAGTGGGTCTGTATCCAAGTCATTGTGCTGAGCTATTAGTGCTAATTGGGAATATCCTGTATAGAGCAGGAAGGAAAAGGAAGAACAGCCACATCTACCACTACACTACCACAGGAAATGGCAGACGTTGCTTAATTTGTCACATTTTACAGCAAAGGTGATACTGCATGCCAGAGGGGAGAATTTACAAAATAAAACTTTTTTTTCCCCTTCTTCTTCTACCCAACGTAACCTCTTATTGATGATGGCCAAGAGAACAAAAGAAAACATGTTTATGTGACTAAATGTTACTTAAGCCCTGGGGAAACCAAGCCCTGCCTGTTTGAACTATATAGGAGGTGTAAACACAACACAAAATGATTTCCTTATATTGAAAATGTGGTAAAATAGTATTTATTTCACAGAAACATACCAGTACAGGAAGAAAAACAGCTTATGATAATATGTGTTGTACACATATTGCAAGAAAAAAAAAAAAAAAAAAAAAAAAAAACTATTTACATCTGAGCGAGGATGCCTGAGTGTACTGAGCTTGTAAGATTAAAAAACAACAGGCTCCATACAGTATCACACTGCAGAGGGATAATGAAAGAATTCTGTCCACAGAACCAGAGGAAACACCACCAAAGTGAAACAGAAATACATCCATAGATGCTCACGATGCAGAAACAAAGCAAGTAGCTGTCAACCTCAACCCAAGGGAAATAAATGACAATGATAATGAGAATGTTTCAGCTCCAATCTGCAAATCGGACATTTTTTCAGAACCACAAAATTAGTTGTATAGTCTATCTGATTTTCATTGAGCAAATTGTGCCATCTTCCAACTCCAGTTTGATCCATATTATGTTTAAAAAAAAAAAAAAAAACATTGAATATTGACAAAAAATTTAAGGGAAGAGGTCAGAGAGAAAATCTATGGTTCACTTGACAGGAAAGAAATAAAATGAGTCCAAGAATTAAGTATGTCAGAATAAAACTGATTCACTATCCATACAGTAAGTGTACAGCAACACAGCTTCATGTAACTGGGGTCAAAGACACAAATACATATTGCAGGAAAGGTTCTGCAGACATGAATTATACTCAGCCAGTAGTGCTAGTTCTAAACTCAAACTATGTGTTATTTGTATTGATTTACAGTGCTTTGCAGAGATATTCACTAATGAAACATTAATACATTTTATGTCAAAAGGTTTATATGGTCAGATGAGATCAAAATTAAGCTTCCTGGCCTGCATGCAAAATACCCCATGGAGAGACATGGTAATGGCTGTAGCATGATGTGAGGATGTTTGCTTATTTTTTTTTTCAGCAAGGACAGCCAAACATAGAGAAGATAGATGGAACTACATACTGGACAATCCTGGAGCAGTAAAAGTAAATGAGGTGGATTAACAACTCTTGTCAACAACAAATATTCCACATGGTACTATGGAATATCGCCTCTCCTGCCCAGATATTAATCCACATGTCATACAGAGACAGTCTTCAATCAAAGGCCTTTTCAGATTTATTGCAATACTAGCTGCTACTGAAGACTCTGAAGATACTTGGATGATTTGAGTTACGGCGACATTTAAGTGAAGATAAATTGGAAGCATATTCATGTGTTCGAATTATTATATAAAAATACTCTTGCAAGGCACTGTCCCAACAGCATTCCCTTTTGAGAGTTCAAATGTCACAGTCAAAATCTTTTCACTAATTCTCTCAAATATTTGTTAATTTGTGACTGAGCAAACCATGTCTGCAAACCTACCCCTATGAACAGGTTTATAAACACCACATACACTTTAACATCCATTATCTGTGATATACAGTGATAATATACAGGTAAGCTTTGCTGGAATCCATGCAAAAAATATATATGAAGTTAGCTTTAGAAAACTTATAGTCGTCAAACAATTTGACTTAGATGCACCCTTGTGTTTCTAAAACTAAACAAAAAAAACCTTTACATTTGCAAAATAAAATCAAAGAAGAAAGAAACCAAAACATTGAAGGAGGAAGTAAATGAAAAAGCTGTAAAAGAGGTATTTCAGAACTTTAACATTTTTGTGAGTTGGTGTGTAGAGTGAAAGCAACCCTTGTCAGTTTATCTTGTGCACATTCAGTTATATAAACGTTCACTGACAAGTTGATGGTTAATTATCAATGTGACAAAGCTGTGCAATCCTCAAAAGGCAACCAACTTAATGCAGTTGAAGTGAATCTTCTCACCCGATCCCAGCCTTTACTTTGTTCCTCAAAAAGTGCTCAATGTCTTCAGCATACCAAAACCCATTCATTTACAGTGGTGTTCAAAACCACATGCTAACATCCGTCGTAACTGTCCACAAGCCACCTCCTTGAAGTAAAAGGAGCCCCATGTTGACAATAGAAATGAGTTGCAATGCAAATATTTGGATCCTACTAATATGATCTGCTATATGCAAACTTTCTGCATCCTCTGGAGTTGAAGGAAGGTGTTAAACAGCAGAAACTATGACTATATGTGTCAGACTTTGACATAGCTCTTTAGTGGACTTCTAAGGAAGATGCTTTCATCTCAGTTTTACTATAAAATGGGCATTATATGTCTGATAATTTTATTTTATAATCAACTATCAACATACATAGGCAAAAAAAAATTATTTCGCATAGGATGTTAAACTTTCTTCTCTTTCTATATGACATTGATAACTGTTACCTTTTTCTTTAGAATATCTTTTTCTTTAATAAAGTCTTTAATAACGACTCCCAGGATTTTGTAAGGCTCCTTCATACGGGGTTAGAACCATCTCATGGTTTCTAAAACCCTCATTCAGACTGGGTCGGGCCAAATCCTTCTCAGATATCACATTTCATTGGGAGGCCAATTATTTTAGCACAATTTATTTAATCTCTGTCTCTTTCACTTCTCTGTATCTGAGGTTTCTGCACCTAAACTTTCTGTTTCAGCCTTATATTGGAGACGGTGCCACCACAATTGTTTATGTAGTGCTTGCATGTAATAATTTTGTATTAACCGTATTGGCTTCTGCTTAGTTTTCCTCCTTCCCCCTACGCATCGCCAGCCTCTTTTGAATCAAGCTTTTCTTCTGTGGTCAATATGCTTTCTCAAAGGTGGTGAATCGATCCACCTCCTGATCCATCACATAACCTTCTTTCAGGCTTTGTACAATCTAAAAAATACTCTGGTCAGCAGAATATGATGCAGTTTGTAACATTGAGGATAGTGAGCAGCAACTTTGCCTGTATTAGAATTGCAGTCTGATTAAGAAATGTGACACAAAGACTAGCAGGAATTTCCTCTTAGATTCATCAGATTCCTATTAAAAAAATGGTGGGTGTTGTAAACCATGCCGCTTTGGATAATGCTATGACAGCACATATGCCTTGAGATCTCAACAGATCAATATATATGAAATGAGAGAAGTTAAAGTATCTGGTACTCCATTTACTTTTGTACAACGATGAAGCGGCTTCTGGTAGCCTGATGGGTATTTATTTATTGTTTTACATTCTGAACTGGAAGAAGAAAAACAAAACTTTTTGCACAAGGAGTATATGCACAATTTGGAGTTGTGTGCACTTCTCCACAGCTGTGGAACCTTGTTTGACGCCCAGTTCAAAACCATCCTAATGGTTGCAACCAGGAGAACTTTTGTGTGAATGGAAGCTGCTCTGCAAAGTAATGACTTACTTGAGTTCTTCAGTCTTAGTAGAATTAGCTTGTAGTTCAGTGTCTCAAGTTCTGATGATCAAACTAACTGCGGTGCATAATGCCCACATATCATGAACAAGGTTACCAATGCAGGCCTCCTTCATGCGACACTGAAACAGGTTGCCACCATGATGATGAACCAAACAGTTGAGGAAGTCTCACACTGCAGAGACCATTTTAACGTCATGTTCTGGTTTCAGTACAGTTTAAAAAAAGTCTTGATATTTATTATACTATACATTTCTTGCTATATTTGCAAATTGTCTGCAAAAAGCGAATATTTTTGTACGTTTTAATGTAATTTTCCATTGATTTTTCAATTAAATTTCAATGGGTTCAACTTGTGATGGACGGTGATGGAATTTAATTGTCTATCGAAAACTTTCTAAGATCTTTTATATATGACTAAGTAAGTGACGTCTTAATGCTGGTGATTTGTGAACGGCCAGTCTCTCCTCTTTTCCTTCTCAATCTTTCAGTCACATAAATACAAATTGTCCATGGATGGATAAAAGGCATAAATGAACAAGAAAATACATGTACTTTAAGTGACAGACAACATAATGGGGTCATGCAACGTAAAACCATTCATGCAACATATCATGGTATCATGCAACATAAAAACGTTCATTATAAACCAGATAAAGTCCTTACTACCCAACATTTCCTCCGTGGCCCTCATTCTCCAAAACCCATGATGTCCCTCAGGTCCAACGCAGGTTACAAATTGTTTTCTAATCTCCCCTTCACCTCCCACCCCCCTCCAGCAGAGGCTGTAATGCCCATTGTTGCTGCTTTGGCGTCAGATACACTCACACAGACTGGCAGAGCTTCTGCTTCCTTCACAGCATTGAGTCAGTCAAAGTAAGAATGATTGTGTTTATTCATCCAGAGAGACTCAGAAAATAAATGAATGAAATGGAAATGTTCTGTTTAGGGAGAAAGAGCGAAGCAGTTCCACAATAAACTCCTATTTCTTTGTGTTTGGCAGCTGAATTTCTTGTCCTATTTTGTTGAAAAAAAAAATGTTCAGAAGGCACAAAGAGTCAGTCCACCTGAAGCAGCATTGGTTGTGAAAGTAGAATTGTTGTGGTGGTGTGTTATTTTTCATTCCTCCGAGGATTTATCGTGGCTTAAGTAAGCAGAGTTTGGTCTCAGGTTTCTCCTGACGACTCTGTAATGCATTATGGGTAGTGCAGTTAATTGGATGCCACTGAATAAGTCCAGCGAGGCTTCCAAAACTTTCCCCTGCAGTCATGTGGTAAATACCGAAAAATTCTCCATTCCACTCTTGTCCCTGTTGTCCTGGAAGTTGGATGGAGTAATGCTCTGTTCATAATTTCAGCTGAAATGTGGATGGTCAGCATGTCACAGTGGTGTGGAGAAGATGTTTACTCACTGCTGAAGCTGGCAGGTTTTGGACACTTCAAACTAACCTGAGAAGAAAAACACACATATATATAAAAAAAAAAAAAGAAACAGGGTGAAGAAGGGAGAAAAATGCAGCTGTAGAAAACATATAAATCATAGCATAATTTGTTTGAAAGCATGTATTTAAAAGGCAGAGATAAATGGAAGATATGCAGGCATATGTAGTTATAATCTGTGCTCGTGTGTGTGTGTGTGCGTGCGTGTGTTTGTGTACCAGCCTTATAATCAAAAGTTGGCAGGCTATCTGAAGGGCTGTCTCAAAGATGTTTATAGCAACTCTTTGAACCATATTGCATCGTAGTAAAGCAGAAAAAAACCCACAAAAGTCTTCTCATTGGCTAAGCATGCTTTTGATGATCATCAGTGGAGCTATTTAAATCACAGTAAAAAGCATCCAAAATAGGATTTTAATTGGATTCAAACATGTAGACTGCTTCTTTTCAAAACTCAGCGCTGAATCTGGTAAACAAACTAAATAAAAACAAATGGCTGTGATCTCCACTGTCTTTCCAATATAAAATGGTTCACAAAGGTTTTCACACGCCTCGAACTTTGTTACTTTTTTGTCATACTGTGCTACTATAAAAATCTAATTGTATTGGATTTAGGTCTTTTCTGTATCTACAAACCCAGGTGTAAAAAGTTAAATATTTCTTTGAAGAAAAAAAGAAAACTTACCTTGACACAAGAAATGCCGCCAGGTAAGTGTCTCATTAGATTGGCATAGATTTCATCTTGACCATAGAGGCGAGTTCTTGTTTGGTTGCATGTTCCCGCCTTTTCTGCCTCATCCTATAAATAATAATAATAAAAAATACTAATACCTAAAGTCTCAGTCATACATATAGCTTTGATCTGTTCTGGGATGTGTGTGTGTGTTTTACCATATGACAAAAACCAGGGAAAGGACAGTGGTAAGTATGAAGATGGAGAACAAAACCAAGAGGATCACCAGACCCAAATTACCATCATCCTCATGTACAACACCTAATGTGGAAAGAAAATGGGTGGGGAGAAAACAGAAGATATAAGCAACACAAGGTTATTGGGGGTCTACCAGGGTGGAAGACACAAAGCAGCAGCAAGTTGATGAAAACGGAGGAGCATGTGACTGAGAAAAATAGGGACAACAAAACATTGGGTGTAGCTGGGTTTTAATAAAAACAGAAGAGATTTCACAAATTTCTAGTTTGTTGTTTACGAACTAAACAGACTGCCGAAACACTGATGATGCGTTGCTGAATGTAATTACTCCCGTTTTAAAAGTCAATCTGAGGATTGCGGTTCCAGATTTTATAAAAAACATTCATTCATTACACTTTTATGGGGGAACAAAACTGTTTTACATAAACGAACTAAAACAATAAGTATGAATATGCGGACAGAAAAAAAAAACATTGCGGAAAATCAGTTCTCAACTCATCTTTTGGTAACACACACTTTCATACTCCCTGGTCCCTAACATGTGGGTGTTTGTGTACACTTGCAGGTTCCCCGCATGTGTACAGTTTAGAAGGGATAATTGCAACTGCAGGTTGCTTTCAACTCTGTTTTACCCAGATATATGGGTGCTATTATCTACTTCAATTTTCATGGAGGATCCAAAAATGGAATTGACGAAGACAGCATGCTGTAGGAGAAATGCACTACAATTAAATGTAATGGAGGACAGGACCAAACGAGACATACATATTTGGTCTTAGCTAGACTGTAATGACTGTAAATAATGCCCTCTGAGCTTTTAGCTGCATTAATGACTGATTAGACATTTATATGCTGCCAAAACAAACAGAAGAGCTATGATGCAGATTATCCTGCAGTTTTCTTTGATATCATGCCCAAAAATAGTTACGAACACAAGATCCAAATCAAGAATGAGGAGGAATGACACAAGCTGTACACATCTTCCACCTAGATAAACACAGTTCATGAAAAACAGTCACACATAATTAACAGTTCAGCCAAAAAGCAAAAGTAGTGACATAGAAAGGTTTGGAGATACACACACATTATAAGAAAACTAAAACAAAGCTACAAAGTACAAAAGTAACTTTTGAAGTAATTCACAAGCCCTGAACCCTTCCACCCTGGAACATTTCTACAGTTAAATACTGTAGCATATTTTCTGGTGATTATGCATGGAGACTGTAAAATGTTATTGCACAACGTGAGGTGGAGAGAAAAGTGAATAGAGTTTAGAAAATGTTCCACAAAATAATCTGAAAAGCACACATGTATATTCAATCTGTGAACATCTCACTCTATGAGATGTACAAAAAAAAGAGATGTACAGGGAGACACTCCCACATCATTGTCTAAACCAATCAGATAGCACAGAGCAGGCCCCCACCCTCTGATTGGCTGTGGTAGACTGTGTCAATGTTGTGCAGACTAGGCTACTCAGATAAACAGAGAGGTTGTAGAAATGTTAAGGTCTCAGTCATCTAAAAATCATCATAACCTCTCAGGATATGTCTGTCAGAGCTGTGGAAGATGTAGGTATTTTAAATCTCGATGTTTTGGTTTTGCCAGTCTGGTCTCTCTGCATTGCACTGATGATAATAATAGTGTTATATTTTTTCCCCCAACCTAAGAGCACAAGACTATTCTGAGCGCATGTATCTGTGTGATTAATCACTTCCCCAGTACTTCCCATTGCATTGATTATAAATATCCGTGAAATATTTACAATAAATATCAGCCTTTAAAAGATTTGAACTTACATTTTTTTTCACATCTCAGCACTTCATTCATTCATTTTATCTTGAGAACTCCTTCTTTACATTTTAGCTCACTGAACCAGTTCGAACCCTTTTTCAGTCACTTTACGTTTGCTAAATTGTTAATCATTCATCAGTAAATATTGCTGTATTGAACAGTGATTCAAATAAAGCAAACTTGTAAAACTGCAATGTTTAATGTGATGCAGTTGAACATTTGGCTGCAACTCAATTCTATGCCGGTGAGAAAAAGCTAGGCACACCAGCGGAGCCAGTGCAAAAAGTTAGTCCAGAGGCATGCAATGTGATCCTGGCCCAAATCATGATGCTATTTGCTCACTAACATTCCTTAGATTCCTTAAATCTCCAAGGTCTTTACAGAATAGCTGCAATTATTCATAGAGAAAACTAAATACATATAGGCACTAAATATAAATAATCAGCAAAGTTTTCAGACTTTTATTTTTAAAAACAGTTAACAAAATTATGTATAATTTTCCATCCTCTTTACAATTATGGAAACACTTTTCCAAGACACCATTATCCTAGAGGCTTTTTTGTAGGAATTTCTTGCACTACCTGCATAATTTTAGAAAGAGTTTAAATAGCAGAAAATTTGATTCACCTAATTAAAAAAGCATGTGGAAAACAGGAAGAGTACAGGCAGTGCGCTAACTCTATATTTAAAATACTTTTAAGGATAAGCAGGACTGGTAAGGAGGGAATTGTATAAATGTGGTGACAACCCAGTTTGTTGCTGAGGAACAAGACTTCCAGGGTTCTGATATTTGAAAGAGACAAGCGAGTCTTACCGTGGGTTTTGGCGGTGAAAGTTTCAGGCGATGTGCTGAAGATATAGTCTGGGTCATCTGAAAGGTGAGTGGTGGTGTCGGCTGCAGTGCAAATAAACAGATGCAAACTTTGCTGTCAATGTACCAAATCCAGTGACTCAAACCACAAAAGAAACTACATTCAAAGTTAATTATACTTAATAAAATCTGTACATGTTCCTGGCTGTGCATTAGACACAAGTAATTAGAACCAGTTCATTTCCAGCACTCCGCCATTCACCCAGTTTCATTGTCCCCCAGTTTTCTGTCCGAACATTTGTTGTCTTGAGTCCAACATTCTAGCATATTTGATCTAATGAATGTTTCTTTCATAGTTTCTCAAAAAGTACAATATCAACAGAGATTTTGTAATTTTGGAAGGTTTCACTCATTATTTTGACCTAATTATGTCTAATTCAATAATTTCAGTCAACCCATATATTTTCATTTGTTACCAAAAATATCCATAAAATATCCATTAATGTAAAAAAAAAATCTTTCTTGTGGATTTAGTGTCTCACCTTGCCAGGGTGTATGGAAACTCAGGGCACTCCATTCACTCCACTGGCTCTCCGGGTTGACGTCGTCGCGGGCTCGAACCTGCACCTGGTTGGCGTGGTGTGCTGTGGCGTCAGGTATTTCAATTGAATTCTGTTCGGTCATCATCTGTTTTTGGAGAGACAAAAAAAAGATGCTACTGATAGCTCAATCACAACCCTGTATAGAACACGGGTGGTAAACCCATTCAGCATTAACAGCCAATAATGTGGGCGCAGGTTTGATTGAGATACCTCTGACCAATGCATGGATCCCTGTGGTCTGTATCGAATATGAAATTTCAGGGGAAACAAAAGGTGCTCTGGCCAAGACGATGGATTCTTCCATGAAACCCATAACTTTGATGGATTCCCTTCCACTTCCTGTATGAACACAGACCGTGGAGGGTCTGGTTTCACTGTAAAAGCACAAACAAGTACAAAGTTAGTACAAGTACTCTTTCTCCTGTTGAAGGAGAAAGAGTAGTGTGAAATATAATAGTGTTTCAGCTTTAATAGACAAAAAAAAAAGTGTAATTAAGAACCAGGCAGTGTTTTCTAGCTTTAAATTAAGACAACTGTCTCAGAAACAGTGTCTCAGAAACACTGAAACAATGTGTTTCTGAGACACACTTTCTGTGTCTCAGAAACAGTGTTTTCTGAGACACTGTTATAGCTGCCCTTTAAAATCAAAAATAACATTTATAAAAATCACAAATTTCTTATGTGGCCTTACAAAGCTCATCTAATCTGATTTTGTGGTAAGATGTCTGGGTCCCAAGAGCGTTTGTCTCTGTGACTCCAAATATGTGGATAGTCTGCCAGAATGCGGGATCTTGTACATCACAGTGCCTGTTGGTGGAGTCCACGATACACAATTTGGTTGGCTCCTTTTCTTCCTTCCCTCTTGAAAACAAGATCAAAAGAGTTTAATTACTATTACTATTATTTATAAAAACAAAACAAACAAAAAAAACATTCTTAATTTGACTGTTCCGATGCAGTAACTGTGTTGTACCTGAAGGAGGTGTTGTACTTGGCTGGCAGGAAAGTTTTCACAGAGTCCCTCCAGGAGCAGCGAACAAGTGTGTGATTGGGTACACGACAGGAAATGCTGAGCAGCCCAGGGGGATCTGACAAACAAGAGTGTCCCCATTATGAACCAAAACAATCAGGAGGGCTTTGACCAGCAGAAGGCAAAACTCCCAGTTCCTTAGAAGGAAGCTCCGTTGGAAGCCCCTTCCTGTTTGAGACAGTGGGAGGATGTGGATGGCTTTGTGATAGTTGATAAGACCAGTTTCCTCTGAGAACTAATAGCTCTGTTCCATTTATCACTGATTTTACAAGTAATCTTACTATAAACAGAAAAGCATTTGTTTTACAACAATGACATTTCACTGGAATTATACTTGCAAGTTTTTCAGATTATAGCTCTCTCAGCTTTGCAAACCCAGAAGTGGACATTTTTGTTCATTGCTCATTTTGTGTATTTAATTAAAATATGCTCAAATGCATTTATTAATTATCTATTAGTCTGCACTTACTGAGCCATTCTAACATGAATTATGAATGTGTTTTAAGCTACACAGTTCTGGCAGGCCCATGTACTGCCAGAAAATTAACGTTCACTTTGTCATGTATGCCTCTCCAGTCACTTCCCTGTGAAGTGACTGGATTATCTTTTCTTGTCCCTTCTGAATAAAACATTCTATGACAGCTTCAACAATGATATAAAAAAAATATATATTTTTTTTTATATAAAATAATGTTTTTTGTAAAAGTTTCATACTGCAGTGATAAACATAATTGCTGATCTCTCTAGTGTGTTGCATTTGGTTTTTATGATTTGTGCACCAATATTCTCAAACAAACCTTCCTATTTGTGTGTAATTTCTTTAGAATGGCTACATTTCTACAGAGAATACACACAAGATTTTGCTCAGGAGTATCGGAGAAAAGAGGTCTCAAGAAAAATCTACAACATTTTTGATACTTTTGCTGATAAAAAATAATAAATATGAATAAGTCTTCATCCACTTCACCGTCATGCATTACTTTCGGTTAGTATACAGTATCACAATGAAACATGTTGATGTTTAAGTGGTATGAATACTTTTGCAAGAAGACATTGTATATGTGTAGAACTACCTTTTAACTCCTCAACCTACGTATTTCTGAAGCAGTCAAAGCATCACTTACAGCCCAGTCGGAGTCTGACCGAGTGGAGGAGGAGCCCGCTCTTGTCATAGCAGCTGTAGTTGCCCTGTGCTGTTTGGTCGACGAGAAACAGGACTAAACTTCCGTTCAATGTCACTTGGTGCCAGGACAACACGGAGCTATGGTTGTGATGCCACACCACAGGGAAACTGGACAGAGGAAGGTACTTTATTCATTTTTATGATAGTAACTGATGTTGGGGAATCTTTCATAGTAACTGAGTTCTTTGTCATTTTTGCCACTATACTCATGAAGATGGAACTTCCTCTTAGTGCTTGTAATATGCTGGTCTTCCTACCTGATTTGTGACTTCCCACATGCCAGTGTCACATTCGACTCCAAACGCCCAAACTGCACGTCCGACACTGCAAATACAGCCATCGCATAAAACATTAAAGAGCATTTCATGCTGGCTTCCAGAATGTGCACACCAAGCAGTCTGACATACAATGTGTCTGTACTGTCTACGACGTTAATGTGATTCAAGCACCATCACTGACAGTCCAGTCAGCAGAGTTACAATAACATGACCATACACGGTTCGGGATCCGGCAAACTGAGGAGTCTTTGGCATGCACCGTAAAGCTGCTGCAGAGTGTTTGTGTTTTATCTTTTAAAGCTGGTTGTAGTCATTTTTGAAATATTATTGTCTATCAAATAAATCCACTTTGAAACAGTTTTAAAAGTACAGCCCATCTTCTGCAACCAATAAAGTAAGCTACACTTTAGAACTCAAACAGTCCAAAGGAATAGATTATAATATACTCTGTCAACTGCAATATACTGTATACTTGTTATGTAAGTTTTAAAAAAAAAGCGTAATTTAGACCCAGATATTTATGTAGCTATGCAGAAAAACAAAGAGCAAATGCTCCAGTATCCGATATCATTATTGGCTCAGAACAAGAAGCAAATGTTCTCTGAGCTCATACAAAACAATGAGAATTTAATTATTTAAATAGTTTGTTTCTCAATACTGTCTTGTTAAAACTTATATAAAAGGTATGTCAAAAAAAAAAATACTTTTTGAAACTTGAACTATGACTGATCATAAGACAAACAACTATTAGATAGTTTGTTTACTCCATGTATCCTACAATGCAACATGAACGTGACTATGGGAAGGTCAGGCTTGCAGTGATGAGCTTCAGACATCTTTACTAGTAGTGCTACCAATTATGGTCAGTGCTGTATAAATTAAATGCACTTTTGAATTAGAGTGGACCACATAATACCTGCATAAGTAACGCAAAGTCTTTTTATCACTTCAGGATAAATATCAAACTGTTAATGGTATCAAAGTTAAAGAAACAGAAAATGCCAGATGCAGTTCAACTGCAAAAGTCTGAGATTTCAATCACTAACATGTGGAGAAATCTTCAATGTCAATACTTTCCAACTCAAATAAAACTGAAGGGTGGTGTTGATTTAAAGTATAGCAAGTGTAGTGTTTACTCGAGCAAATATTTGTGGTGGCTGTAGTAATTTGCAAAGAAGATATTCTATCTAGTGTGTGTGAGAGTATTTGAGCACATGTTTAGCTTGGCTTCGTAATGTGAAAGCTGGCATTTACGAGAGATCTGGGGTGAAAGAAGGAAAAAAAAAAAAACAGCGTAGTTTGAGCTGCCAGTGTGCCACGCAAACAGCTTCATTAATTCACAACCTCAGCCACTGAGGCATGCACACTCCCTGCTGGCCTCTCCTACCATAGCAGCAAACAACCTACCCTTAGTTGTACGTTTTTATCTAATCTATTTTAAAGAAACCTACTGAACTGCTGAAAAGTTTAATTACTAGTACTATCTAAAACAGTTTATGGACCTATATGTATGTGAAATAAACCAATACTTCATGAATGTTTGCTGCAGATCTTTAACAAACTCAGTTTTCACCGGCAGCTTGTATTTAGCTTCTTTTTTTCTTTGTAATTCTCTGCTGATGGTGGCTGCATGAACTGAAACAGCTGGAAATGAGTTTCACAGGGACGCTGTGGTTTCATTTAGATTTCTAAGAGTAACGTGAATGGTGAAAGGGGAGGAGAACACTGAAATCTATTGAGGCCTTCTAAAGTGAATTAAAGTTATTAATAATGCTGTGGAATGTAGGATATAACTAATTACATATGACAAAAGGCATGGTCAATCAATTTTAATTTCAAGACAGATGTTGTGGGAGTGTTAATACTTCGATAAAACTAATGTCTGGCTGCCTGAAAACTCAAAAGAAAAACCACAATATTTTTTACACAGAAAAAAACCCTGCTATTAATATTATGAGTTGATCCGTGAGTGCTGCAACTGCAATCCTCCGGTCAAACCAGTCAAGCCGAAAATTGACTAATTGAGCTTGAGCAATTGCTGAATTCCTGTATTTCTAAGTGAATAAAACATTCTCAAAATTCCCAACATTAGCCAGGTTCCAGTTAATAGGTTTAAAGTTCAGATAAGAAAAGATTAATACATTAAAAAGATCATGCACATGAATGGACAGATAACATAAACTGGAAGCAAAGGATTTTGTACATAATATTTCACTTATCTGAAACTAAAAAATAATCTTTAAAACCTCAATTTTACTCCATAGTAAAGGGAATATTGCCTTCAGTATTTTTCTAATTACTATGGGAAGCAAACAGTTGCACCTAAAATTATTTAATGTGTACTGCAAGTGATGTTTTTGTGAAAATGTAAAATTGTTCAGATTTGCAATACACAACCTGAACCAGAAGAGGCCTAAATGATAAGTAGGACTACCACCGCAATTTTTTTAAAACCAAATTCACAATTAATCTATTTGTTCATGACTTATGCGATCTCAAAAATATTCAACGTCTTAAAGAAAATTTTTCATGTTTCACGAGTCGTTCCAGGTGGCTGTGGACAAGAAACCCGTCATAATCCTGCCGGTAGACTCCCAACTAAAGAAGACTGGAGGCTGAAACTGAAACTTGCGGCGATACAACAAAGTAAATTACGGTCTCTGGGTTTGAATAATATGCAACAAGGTTATATCATATGGTAAAAAAAGAGCTCAGAACAAATCTAGACTTACGCTGTCTGAAACATCTCGATTACTAAAGTTTACAAGTGGTTTTGTTTGTCCTATAACAGACCATTGTTCTTTCTTATTGTCTCACTTTCCTCATCAGTCTTTCCATTTACTCAGTCATTTTATACGGAGCCTCTCTCAACAATTTTAACCACATTTTCTTTTTTCCTTTCACCACACTCCATCCCTTTTTTTCTGCATATATGTGTGTGTGTGTGTGTGTGTGTGTGTACCTGGGGCCCTGGTGGAGCACAAAGAGTTGGCTGATCTGAATGTGTGTATTCATGTTTTATTGGCAGTGAATTACATTATTCCCCAAACCCGCAGCGTTCCACTCATATCTGATTCTGCCTCTGGCAGGAGCACCCCGACATGTGCGCACACACATACGCAGACATAAAACAGCCCATCCATTCATACACAAACATGCGTTTATGTACACACTCACACACACACACGCACATCCACATAACGATGTGCACAGAACGGCTTCAGGTTCGTCTTGACATTAAAATCAGATGGCAAAGCAGACACAGAAACTGCAAGCTGGATGAAACTCAGTACTTTCAAAACAATAGAAAGGAGCCTCAGGGTGGAACGGATGGCCTCATATGAAGGTCAATTTGTTCACTAATTAATATATATAAAAAAAACAAAGAATGGAAAGGGGAAAGTAAGAAGGGAAAATGAAAGAAAGAAAAAAAGTCAGAGAAAAGGGAAGAAAGCAAGCAAGAAAGGAAGAAAGATTTGATTTTCAGAGGCAAATAAAATGTCTTCAGACACAAATTAGCAAAGTTTTTCATCCTTCTTAGTTTAAAGTTTAAATACAGAAGTCTATAATGATTTATTGTATTTCTATCAAAGCTATGTTTTAAAGACAAAACTATGAAAAAATAAAAATAAAAACTAACCATCAGAAGGACAAATGGATGAGTGGGGTTAGATTTCACACAGCCATTGTAATAAATGAATGAAAGGCAGAGAACGATACAGCTTTCTGGTGTGATTTGCAATATGCTTTGATAAACTACATATAAATTAGGAAATTGTCTTATTTTACTGCTGGCTATTATTAAAAACATTGCACCCAGAACTATAAAAAAAAAAAAAAGGCTGACTCTCATTTAAAGTTGATTGACACAGTAAAACAAATTTTCTAAGAATAATCTGACTTGTAATTCCTGAAAAAGGGATGACACATCGGGTTGTTACAAAAATAAAATATCCGCACTGCTTTGCTGTCATTTTCATACTTGCATGTGCAGATATGCATGAGTGTAAGCACCTGATTGTGTTATAAAATGGGTGAGCGCACAACAACACAATTTGCTTAAATCCCTTAATCACAACAGCTCATGAAATAACATCTGTGCAGTTATTTATTAATGCAGCCATGGCACAGACCATAAGGGGTTATGCTTCAGACTGCAAGGTGTGATCATAATGAAGTGAGGCAAAAAAAAAAAAAAAATGCATAAGTTTGCTACCCCGCTTTGAAAAACAAACTTGCTCCATTTGCTCTGTTGGTCATGTTGCTATGTGTACCTGTGTGTTTGATGGCTAATAGGCAACCACAAGTCATTTCTACACACCTGAAAAAATCACCTGTTTGATAGTTAGGAAGTTCTGCTTAAAATGTAAACACATTTAAATGGTTACACGTTTCATTCTAAGAACTGCTGAAATTCTGAACTATGGCTCTGTTATCCATGACTCTGTCAATGTAGTTGGAATTTTACAAAGGCAAATAATTAAAAAAAATCATATCCGACACAATCATGTCGTCCTTAAACCATAACAGGTTTAATTAAGGTCTGTTCATACAGGTTTTTTGTCTCATGATCTAAAGTTATTACTGAAGGTGCTGTGCTGTAATAACTTGAGTCAAGTTTAAAACAAAAACTGGAGCTTCAGGTAATCATCTGTTGAAAATCAGGGCAGGAAAGGTCAGAAGTACTGTTATTCATTTAATTAATCTTCCCTATAGGACACCATGACGCATCTCTCAGATTTCTTTGCAACTAAATTAGTTACCTAGTGTGGGAGTTTGTAGACATTACAGCATACATTACGAGCTCTGACCTTATAAAATTGCTTTCACAAAAAAATGAAAGGCAAGCACTGGAATTGTCAATAAAGAATTATATTTTACACTTTCTTTCATTCTTACACAAAGCTCTATATGTACGTAAATGCATCGAGTGTAAAGGATCCAGAGGAGTCCATGTCGGAATCTCGACAAGATGTGCGTCTGTGTGCGTTGTTGCTGGGTTGACGCGAAGGTATGTGCCTAGACAAATGCGCAGCCACAAATATTTTCATTTAATGTAACTGTCAGTTTTGTTTGCGACAAAAGTGTAAGGCCTGTGCGTGTGTGCGCATGTGTTACCTTCATCACTCCAAATCTGAGCACGGCTGGGAGGCAGTGACCAAGACAAAATCCAGATGACTATGAGACAAACAGGACTGGACAGAAGGCCTGGCATCTAGAAGGACAGAGGGACACAGATGGAGGAGGAGGTTATTTAAAATTCAACCAAAAGTAACCATTCCCTGGTTATGCTTCAGAAAAAAAGATAAATACTGCAACTGATGGCTCGTAGTTCTCTTTCACAGAGTTTAAGGCCTCAAACAGGAAACAGAAGTAATAGAGCAGCAAATGCTTCAGTGAAAGAGCTTTTCAACGTCCAATAACAGACTTTTCATAACAATATGGATACAAAATGACTTGTATTGCATTGTATTAATGGAGAAATAAATTCTGAAAGTCTGGAAAGAGTTTAGCATGTAAATATATTTAAAACATATGCTTTCCTCATTATGAATTTGAATAGCAGCCTATTTAGATCCTGTAGCAATGGTCTATTACAGAGAAGCCTTTTTTGAAAACTATAAATGTAATGCATGTATGTATACACACACACACACACACATACATATATATATATATATATATATATATATATATATACATATACATATATATGTATATATATATATATATATATATATATATATATATATATATATATATATATATATATATATATATATATATATATATATATATAATCAATTCAGCAGTCTTGTTTTTTATGAAGCTCCTCAATGCTAAAAACCCAATGAGACATCTTCCGTGGGTTGACTGGCATGAAGCATAAAGAACCCATTCTTTTTATTTGGACAAAAACACAATTTCTTTCAATGTCAAACAGTTCTATAATTCACCAGGAGCAGAAGAGGAGATGAAGTACAAGCAAATACTGAGCGACAGACATTTAGTTCAGAAAACATATTTACACCTTGAAATGAATAATTATAGTATCGAAACATACAAATTCATTACCATTATTTTCACTCTGTTTAATGGTATTAGACATGTTTGGAACAGAAACATTTCTTAACCTGCAGTACCCTGCAGGTCTCAACCTTATCCATATTACTTTTTATTCAGCACTATCTGTACTATCTAACCAGAGTTATATATTGTTAATAAAGTCAAATTAACCAAGCCTTAATGAAGTGTTTAAAAGCACAGTAAAATTGTCCCACAAGCTGATTAAAACAGTCAAATTAATCTGCTGTCTATTAAAAATGTGGCATTATAGTGCCTTAAGGAGCACACCCTAAAACAGACGTGCATCTACAATGAGGTTAGTATCACTGGTTAGTCTTACATTAAGGGGTGATGTATGTAAAACTTACACTGACATCAAGAAGATAATGGGATAAGCAATGATCCAAAGCCCATTGCTTATATCTACAAATACATTGCTTTACTATGCCTCAGAGATTAAGCAGTGTTACTGCTTAATTTTTGTGGCTAAATGGTAAATTCATATTCCATTATACTTTAAAAATTTAATACTCAACTTCTGCCTCTGCTGTTTTTGTCACACATGAACAAGTGAATGATGTACGGAAACAATCTAAACTAGTATTCAATTAGTTTGAACACTAGTTCAAACTAATTGAACTAGTGTTAATCAATTCAATTAACAATCAATTGACACAGAAAATTAATATTATAAAAGAAACTATTTAAGATCTGGTTGTACATAAAACTTTCTAAAAATTTAAAATAAAGATGAATACTTTGAAAGACTTTAAAAATGCAACAGGAACTTTGCAAAGCTAAACATCTTCTGCAAAGATTTCAGCCACGTATGCATGAGTCAGTTATCAGAATCAAGGTATAGCAAGGCTTTCAACAGAAGGCTACGGTTATTAAAAACTCAAATCGATTCCATCACACCATTCCTAAGGTTTAAACTGTTTTTTATTGAGAAGATGCATAAATTGTCAGAGGCTCTGTCCATACACAACCTCTGAGAGTCATCAGAGTTAGATGACTCTTATTCTCCCCAATCTGTTATTTCCCACTGCTGGTCAGGAGGCAGAAAAATGGCGGCTGAACTTTTCTCTCATTCGTTTGCCAAGATTTCCAAACCCAAAATTCAAAGATACTGAGAGTGTGGACACTACAGAGGTACCACTTACAATTCTTATCAAGGTTAGGGTTAGGCAACTGACAGCAGGTTGGTTATCTGTGCAGACAGCCACCTAATTAACTAGCTATTAACAAAATAAACATGTTTATGCACATTAAAAAATAAAAATAAAAAATAAAAACACCAAATACATATATTTTTTTTCTGCACAAAGAGCTCTCAAAAATTTAAATATTGGATTGGTAAAATCATTATTCAGTCAAGGCAGGCATTCATTTTTGCCAAAGTCTAAATAGAAATTTTCAAAACATTGTATTAATAAGATAACTGTAGCTGTAGTAATCTGGATTATTTTTGCAACAGTAATGTTTATGTTTGAAATCTTTGCGCCAACGCTGTCAACCGGATATTTTTTTCCCGTTATCACATGAGAATTTTGTAACAGTTCTTCCCTAATAAGTAGTAACCTAACGTCTACTCTATGAATATCCCTGACCGTTGCAAAACCAGATTTTTCTCTCATGCCATCTGCAAAGACAATTTGAATTTTGAAGGTTTATTTATGGGTGCTTGAACTGTGATCATTGTGGTTTAGTGAGAATAACACTCCAACATGTGGTTCACAGAATCTCAGCCAAACAGATCATCTGTTATATAAATCTTTAAGTAAACAGGAGAACGAGGTGTTATGTTTGAGACTGCCAGTTTATAAGCAATGTGTTACATCCTAATAACTGATTAATCGTGTTTTTATTTTAAATATATTATAAAGAGGACTCTTAAGATAACGTGACAGAAACATATGGACAAACAGAAATAAAACTGTTGGTGTTTCATTGTTTTCTTCATGCAATTTGCCTCAAAACACATTTCAATATGTCCAGCAGCTGTAAATGTTAAATAAACAAAACACATTGGCATCGCTTGATTATATTACAGCTCACATTTATGCAGTTTGACCTCATTAAATAAATACCGACCCTTGACAAGTCTCGCGCATCATGGTTTCAGTCACAATAAGTCACTGGAAATCTCTGCAGCCCAGCTTTCCAGATGTACATTTTGTAATCAACAACTTAATTACAGGTTCATTGTGTTATAAAAGTTTAGAGTAGCAGACTATCTCCTTTTCCAAATAATTGGAAAAGGATTATTTGGGAAATGGGAAAATTGAGTGGTTCCTACATGAACTGGTTCAAAAATATTCTTGATGTCGTTGTCAGCCTCCGTGTGTCAATCATGCTAAGAGGTAGCACAGCCATGTTACATTCACCACCACCACTTCTGAGTATGGGGCAAATTTAAATCTCAGTTTTCTCACTCACTTGCTTGCTTACATTCCCCTTAGTACTGTTAAGCTGCTGAGAAACATTCCATAAATAAAACTCAGTGGGAACTCTGGATGGTATCCATAACCCATACAGTGATGAGAAAAGGTAACTGAATGTCTGGCCATTGGTGTGTGACCCTAACCCTCAATTACACATGGGTTATGCTGCAAAACATTGATCCAAAGCACACTAGAAGATCTACCTCTTGATGGTTAAAATGTGTTTTTTTTTTCCTCTTAGTGGTCTAGTAAAATTCTGATATAAATCTAATTGTGTCACAATTTTAAACAGTTTGTTCAAGGAAAATCCTTCCAATGTGGCCTAAAAAATCCACTAAGAGCAGGTCAAAACACCTTCACATTGACAGTACTTATTCACAAGATGGTCAATTTGACTAGGCTGATTCACTCATCATGACAAGCAAAACCAACTAATCTTTAAGGAAAAGTTTGGACAGTTCCCTGTTCATTGTGCTCAGAAGCAAAAGACGTACATTCTGATCTACATCATTTTTGGATGTTTATTGTTTTGTTTGTTTTTTCAGTAGCATAAAGAAAAAAAACTTTTTTTCACATGACTAAATGTTTCCAGTGAAATGGAAGTGTTATCTTAATGTTTTTTTTTTTTTTCATTTTGTTATAAAAAGGAAATTCTGATAGTTAAAAGGAAACATTTCTGCTGATGGGTTAAAATGTGCAAATGGAATATTAATGTAGGAGCTTGTCAGCAACACTTAGCCTGATGTTAAACCTCACAGACACGGTTTCTGCTATTCACCACTTTCAACCTGTTGCTTTCTTTTTTTAGACCTTGACACTTTCACCATCTCATCTACTGGATGGCTTTTCATCACCATGTCAAAATGTTCGAAGTTAAGCGTCCAGATTTCTATTGCTCTATTAGTATAGCTTGGCTGTTTGATCATCTTAAAAAATTAAATATGCATCTCACATTTATTTTTATATTTTTTTCTATACAAAAATAAATCTTCTGTTCTATCAGTTCCAGTCGGCTGGTTTTTCTCTGTATCTGACCCTGATGAGTTGTAAAGCCCCCGTTCTTCCTAAAACCATTTGATTCTTCTTAAACAGCACGGGGCAACACTGGCATACATTGTTCAGCCGATTCTGATGGTCAGTGGGAATATATGCATTTTTAAAGCAAAGAAAAAGTAAAAAGCAGTGTCTTTGGAACTTCACTTATTTTAATTCACAAACTAAAAAAAATGTGTCAGATTGTGAGCAGAGGTCTACTGAGTACACAAACAAAACAACAAAAATGTATATACTTTTTCCTTGCTTACAAAGTAGGATCAATTCGGCTGTGTAAAAACATTTTCAAATGTGAAAAATATGACGAGTCAGTGTATGACACCCATTACTCAGTAAAGTAGCTCTAATAAGAGCAGAATTGGATATATGTTATAATATTATGTGTGTAGTATGTTGTTTAATTGCAGCTCTGACTGAAGATGAGACTGTGTCTTTACCTGTGTCCAGGGATTCAACGTAAAGTTAAATGTCAGCTGGCAAGATGAAAATCTGGTGATTAATACTGCTTTCCAGACTTATCATCAGTACTGATCTTTAGTACTAGTCTCCAAGCCTCCACTCAGTTTTTATGTGACTCCATTCCATCTAGAGTTCTTTTTTTTTTCCTTTTTGAGCTCTGCTAGACGACAAAATCTAATTATCTGTGCAAAAC